GCTTCTGGACGGCCGCTCACTGCGGCTGCTGGCCGCTCACGCTGGCTGCTGGCTACATACGGTAGCCCATGGAAATCCACTGCCGCAGGGGCTGCAGCCTACGCCATCGCCGGCGACTCATGGCATCCCAGCTCCAGGTTGAGCTGTTGTTCAGCATCTTAGCTGTGGAGGGCAGTGTCACTGACCCTCATATGTGGGATCCGAATCGGGGCCCTCTGGGGTCCCAAGCCAGTTCTTAACCATCGCGCCACTCGGCCGGCCCCCTTTTTTCTTCAGTTCATTCTTGACTTTAAAGAAAGCATTTAAATGTTAATATTCCAGAGGTAAACCAGCTTTTCTGTGATATAAATAAATGACTACTCTTTTAAGCCTCAAACTGATTTTGTAATGACTATTGCTCATCACATGTTGGCATAGTGGAACGGCAATGAAAAGCCTCAATGTAAATTGCATATTGATAATTACTGCTCATAGCATCTGAAAATATTAAGTGTTGCTCTTGGTTACTTGGCACTGTACCTTTCTAGAGACAAAAACACAATGAGAGGGATATCCTGTAGCCATTTCTACTTTTTCACACGTAATAAGGTTTTTCCAACACTACGTTCTTCTCTAGGTTGCACTCCTTCCAAAACAGTAATTGGATTGTATTCCCTATAAGAATGGACTATATCTGCTAACTTCAGTGTAAGAAGCCTATTTCAAGTGTCTAATGCCGGGTAAGTGCTAAACTATAACCCGATATCCAGTTTATCTAGCCCTTAGGTTACTAGAGACAATTACCAAACCAAGCTTCAGTGGCTATTACAACGGCAAATCTTCATATTTTACTGCAAATCTGAATTTTTGTTTTTTGCTTTTTATTAAAAGAAATCCCAAACTTGGGGCAATAGAAAAGGCTAACTACAACCTAAGAGCTTAGTATTTAAAACTGATTTGGTAGCTTTAGCTATTAAATCTTTTTAGTACCTACATTCATGGTCTTAGTCTTTGTCAGACTTCCTAAAAAAGATAGGTTAAACACAGCCTTTTGAGAATCTGTTTTAAGGCCAGTTTTGCTAAGAAAGGATTTATACTAAATGCTTAAGAAGACATTTTGAAAGTAGATGGCTGAAAGAACTAATGATAATACTAGTACTACTGGTTAATATTCTCCGTAAGGGAAGGTACTCACCCAATTTAAGCAGTCACCATCTAGATCTGATTTTAAACACAGCCTGAAAAAGTTGTTTCCCTATTCACCCAACGGAACACACAAATTTACATCAAGAACTATTGGGTTGTCAGAAAAGTCATGACGTATTTTTTGTTTTTCATTGCAAAAATGTGTCATGACTTTTCAGATAACCCAATATGTCAGAAACACACCCTAAACGTAGAGACCTTAGGAAAATGGATAACCAAGGGCTTTTCCTCAACACACACTGAGCCCCAAGTGTTGACTTATTCCCTCCGCACCCTGCAAATGCTTCCTCTTGCTCACAGCCACAGGTCAGGCAGTATTTAGGCAGGTCCAAAGGGAAGAAAATTCTGAACCATCATGATGCAAATGATTCCTTTTCTCTGGTCCCACGTAAAACACCAGATTTAACACCAAAAATTATCTTTACTTCTGAATTCAAGGTGTACCCAGTGTTTTTTTGTTTTTGTTTTTAAGATTTTATTGGGGAACTGGGGGAGGGGAACAGCGTTGGGGAATCGGGGAAGGAAAACACAAGTTGCTGTCCTTTTGTTCTTCAGTCTAGTTGTGGAAGACGTCGATTCACTGGCCCATGTTGGTATTATCATTGCACTCTTCCCGGCTGAGGCAGTCGCTCGCCGGCCGCTCACAGCGGCTCACAGCAGCTCACGGAAGCTCATGCCCGCTGCCCCCCAACCCCACTGCAGCCTACGGTGTCGCCGGTGACTCACAGAAGCCCTGCTCGAGGTCGAGCTGTGGTTCACCATCTTAGCTGTAGAGGGCGCAGCTGCATAGTGGGACCCGAACCGGGGCCCTGCTGCTCAGAGCCAGCTTCCCAAGCCAACTCCCAACCAACGTGCCACTCGGCTGGCCCTGTACCCAGTGTTTTAATGGGTGGGGAAGAATTAGATAAGTTGACAAAAGCAGCGGCAGGTGATTTACAGCAACACTGTAAGAATACATTTCTAATCCTCATGCAAGTGAATTTCCTCCAAAGGACTCATGAAAAAACTCTTTCCAGTGTCCAAAGCTTCAATTTTGAATACTTCTACATCTATACAATTGAAAACAAATATAAAATGATTACAACTCCTATTATCTTGCAAGGTGACCCCCACTAGGCTACCTTTGGAAGGTTGGGTAGTGGTAGAAAGGGCAAGGAAGCCAGTTTGCTCTGCTCTTAACGTATGACAGGCAAAAACTGAGGCTGGGGCAGAAAGTCGGCTTGGTGTCCTAACTATAATGTAAAAACTGGAGGCCACGACACAACTATCTCAGGACTGTGTATATAGGACATTCCATTAATAGTTTGATGACTCCTCAAAGGTTCAGTTCCATCAAGTTTCTTCTTTATAAAATTGTAAATTGGCCAGCTTTGTTGCTAATTCCACTAGGTTAATGAAAAAATAAGTGATGTGAGAAAAGCCCACAATGAAAAAGTTCAAAATATAACAAAAAGTATTTGCCATAACATGGATTACTACCAAATGGGATTCCCCACATTTTTTTTAAAAAGATTTTTATTGGGGAATTGGGGGATGGGAACAGTGCTGAGGAATTGGCAGAAGGGGAACAGACAAGTTGCTGTCCTTTTGTTCTTCAGTCTAGTTGTGGAGGACGTTGCTTCACTGGCCCAAGTTGGCACCATCATTGCGCTCTTCTCGGGCGAGGCAGATCAGTCGCCGGCTTCTGGACGGCCGCTCACTGCGGCTGCTGGCTACACACGGTAGCCCATTGCAACCCACTGCAGCAGGGGCTGCAGCCTACGCCATCGCCTCACGACAGCCCAGCTCCAGGTTGAGCTGTTGTTCAGCATCTTAGCTGTAGAGGGCAGTGACACTGGCCCTCATATGTGGGATCCGAACCGGGGCCCTCTGGCGTCCCAAGCCAGTTCTTAACCAATGCGCCACTCGGCCGGCCCCTCCACACATTTTAATATACCCGAAACTCAGTGATTTTGCTTACTGGTGCACCTTGTAATATAGACAGCACCTTTGATTTGATGAAATGAAGTGTATTCTAATGTTGATGGAGCACAAGATGACCTTTTCAAATGACAGCTAAAAGCATTCCCACTTTACTCTGAGTTTTGCACATTTAGGTGGAATGCCTTTAAAATAATCAACTGATTTTTACATGGGTCTGAAATTTGTTTTGTGACGAAAGTTTCTTAAATGTGGTTTAAGAACATTTCCCTTGAGACTTGACATCCATAAAGAAAATGTTATCCAAATCTTTCATGTAGCCAACTTAAAACTTCAAGGTATACAGACATAAAAATTTAACTGTCCATTTACCTACCTGTAAATGATCAGATCACTGTTCAAGATATTGGTGGCTATGTGAATTCAGTTAGGTATATTCAGGTAGCTAAAAAAACTTAAAATTCAGATTCAAATCGTTTAACCCAACTGCAGTTTTCCCAGTGAAGAACACTAGCTTGTCTTCTGATTCAACTTTTAAAAACTATGTAAAATCTGATAAAAATCTGGGATGTCTTTCTTTGGCAGTGGTCCCTGTAGTAACCCAATTTTAGGGAAGCACCAACGGGTTTTTGTGGAAGTCACATTTCTTTGGAATATGGCAAGAAAGAATTACTTTTCAGATAACTAAAAAGCAGAGCATATGGAATTTGCTAAATTAACTGAATTTTCACTTTTGTAATTCCCTTCAAAACATGTGATTTATGTCTGATTTAAATGAACTTTAAAATACCAGTTCGCCGAATGTTGATTTTAGAATGAACAGTTAGGTCAGCAATTAGATCACAACTCAATTTTTGAACTGCTTAGATGTGAATATACTTCGAAGATACAAAATTCGGGCCGAAGCCCTCTACTTGTCAACATTTCCCTTTTTTTTTTTCAAACCTATTACACCTATAATTTACCTTCCATTTATAATTCTTACTTTAATAAATAAAAGGGAAAACCGAAATTTAATTTATAAAGTTTTATTTTTGTATATGTGCTAAATCTTAGGAACTGTGGACAATCTTCAGTCTTGGCTTGTAAAAGGCTGAGAAGTGTGTGATCTGGGTGGTGAAATTTCCTTTTGGGAATCTGGATTTCAAAGTAAAAAAATCTCACTCATTTGCAAGTTTAAAACATGGTGTGTACTTTCCCCCTTTTTCTTATACTATAAATTTGGAGGAAAAGTGCTACATTTCTGCAAACGTAAAATACTCATTAATACAATCGGCAGCAAGTTCTTAATACATTTAGCACTTTTGTAGTGAATTATCACACCCAAAACCTTATTTTCAAACACAACATTCACATAGGTGCAGGACCAATTTTGGTTGAGCCCTACTATGAAACCAGTACTGAATGGTTTTTCTAGTTAACAAAAAATGGGGAGGAGGGGAGTGTTCTACTTGCTGGGAAGTTGTAGTACCTTCAAACTTAAGACCAAAATTGGGCACTTATAATGAAAAGGCAATTTTCTTATGCAGTTATAATTCTAAATAAGGCAGGATATATCCAAATTAACCACAATATTAAGCAAAGTTCATGGGGGTAACATAAGCTGGAAAATACTAAAAAAATCCCCTAAAACTGAAAGGAACTATTTTGTAGTAGTAATCTGAATATTCAGACTGTTGCTTTCGTTTACAAACAGATTTTAAATAAAAAAGGCTCCTCATCTTTTTAACCACTACAAGGACGAAATACTTAAGTTATCATTCACTAATAAAAGTTAATCATGAAAAAAATAAAACATTTTAATAATTCTAAATTTGCATACATAATAACTAAAAGACACAAGGTGGGAAATTATCATTGAGAGAAAAAACAAGACAAAATCCCCAAATATGACTATTTTCTTATTTCTGCCTCTACAATGCTGAACATGATAATTTGGTTGGTGAGGGGAGGGCTTAGAAACAGCAGCAATATGGTTTTTACCAAGTTGTGCATGGAAATACTTAGATCCAACAGGGCAGAGCCCTTGTTCACAAAGATTAACAATGAAAATATCTTCTTCAGTCTTTATGTTAACAGATTCTACTGTGTTCTATAATCATGCCATTAATTCTGGGGGTACTTCTTTGAAAGGAAGGCTAGCGATTCCGCAACAAACATTTAAAGTAGGAAATATATATATGGCTCAAGAAATCAGTTGAGGGATAATTAAATAATCTTTAGGCACTTTGAAGACTTGAAGTTTAAAATGTGCCATTTATGTTCAGAAAAAGACCTCAAAATCACCACTATGCTGTTCTTACAATAACATGCATCTTAAAATTTCTGGTTATACATTAATGCTTGCTTAAGAGTTAAATATAGAAAATAATTTGCACAAACAAACAAAAAAATAACTCTCCGATCACTTTCCCTTGATCCTGGTCACAACACAGACAGCTCTTCTGCAAATGGAGGGAAAAATGATTCACAAGCCCTCACCTGGCACAAGGGGACTTTAAGTAACCAAGGTGGGATCTCCCTCCAAGGAGAAAAATTCACAGCCTTTTAAAAAAATCAAGTCATTGAAGTTTCTAAATTAAGTACATTACACACTTTTGTTAAGGAGTAGGAAATGCAAAAATCACCTCTCAGATGGTGAGATGGTGTATTTAATGATAGCAACTTGTCCAAATAAAATTAACCTATTTTGCTCCTTGTTAAGGACGCTTGGAATTGAGGAACTTTTAAAATTACCAATTGGAATTGCAAACAGTGTGTACAACTTTAAGTCAAACTTAACAAATTCAGATGTAATATACTTAAGGTAAAAAAACAGGATCTATCTGGTGTCAAAATTTCCTATTACAGAAAACCTAGAAGCATAGATTGACTATAGAGTACTGCGAATAAGATACCCAGAGCTTTATCTTAAATACCTGCCCCCTTTAATCACAAAATAATGCAATTCTTAATTTTGTTTCTGCTTTGTTCAGTTCCAACTGTAACCTTTTTGACAAAACATTTTCCTAATAACTGAATTGTAAAAAATACAACCAAGCTTGTGCTCATTAAATATACATGTATATAAAAAACATACAAAAAGTACAAGATTGATTATGTTAGGAAACTTTTACAGTGTCAACATCCTGTTTTCTCTAAATCTTTAGTAAAGGGCCGAAGGTCAAATCTTTCTGTGCACAAAAACTCAATAATCAATGTGACTGAACTCCTGAATTCAGTGTCATGCCTAGGCATGTTATGCACAGAATTAATTTTTAATATGCAGTCCTTCAGGAAAAAAAGGACAAAAAAGTGACCAAAAAACCAAAAAACACACCACAGGACAAAAAGTTCTTCTTAAATCAAATTCTATTTGTGAATTCAGCAAAATAATTTCTATAAAATAAAACAGCAAAATATTTAAATAGAATAGGGTGGGCTGTATTTGTTTGCAGGAGTATTTGGTTTTTAGACAGGTTCAAAAAAAAAAATCACACACATTCAAGTTACCAATTCTGTTATACAGTATTAACTGATGAGTTCTTTATCGTTAATTAAATGTTTATTCTGAAATACATACCTCAATTATATTAACTAACCAGTAGTTTCCTTTTTAATTAGACCCTGCTTCGAATGTTAAAATTTTTGGAATAATGGAAAAGGAACTAGGACAATTCTTGCTTTCAAGTAAAATTGTGACCGAGCAGAAACTCAGTCAGACATCTTGGTGCAGTGGTACACCAAGTCCCGTGGGATTCTTGAGGACTTCCACTTTGACAGCAGAAGGAAAGTTTTAGAAGATTCACCTAATAAGCTCTACCAAAGAAACAAAACAAGCACACCAAATACAGTCTTCTATTATGCTTCAAATATCCTGGCATAGCAAATGTTTGCATATTTGTTTTAAATCTTTTAAAATTCCCATTATTGATACTTAAGTTTCTTTATCCCACCCAGAGATTGAACTGTCCAACATTAGATGTAAGCAACATATGTGTAACTAACTGAAAACCGCCTGTTGTCACATTTCTCCCCTTGTTTTCTATTTTATATTCTAGGTGTAAGAAGGAAAAAGCTCTGAGCAATACAGCTGTCACACTGGGACAACTGCTGTCATTATGTAATTTTTTTTCCTCATTGGCTACACTAACCTGGTGTGAAGCCATGCTAAATGTTACAGCATAACTATAGCTTCAAAATGATTAACCTAACATCAGAATAAAAAGGCAATGAAAAAGATCTAGAAACAATGTTACATCACCAATTTTCCACATCAACCAAATAATTTAAAGGTTACCAGCCTTACATTGCTCATAATAAAACTGACTCCAGTGGCAAAGAATTAACATGAAACTATTGGTATGGTTGACATGGATGGGCTCTGTTTTGTTGCTGTTGGTTTATTTTTTGTTTTTGTAAAGAAGTTGAATCCAACTGCCAAGAGGCAGGCAACACTGGCTGCAGAATGCAATGGGTTTAACAAGAAAATTAACTTTTGTAGTTTTTGAAGATCTGTGAGTCTCATCAAGAAAAAAGTTTCTTGCTTCAGAATTAACAGTCAAACATTAATATACTATATACACCTTTGCCATTTACACATTAGCATCAGGCCATTTATTACAAAACACTATACACTTTCCACTGCAGGCGGGTTATATATTGACAGCAAATTTCTGCAGATAAGACAGTGAATAAAACTCTCCACTCCATGTTGATTAGGAATAGTTTTTCTAGTTTTAAATATTAGCCAGACACAGAAAAAGGTTGGACTGTAAGGCCTGGGTGCACAGTCTTGATGGAACCAGTTCGTTATGTGCATTTATTTCACTGATCCTTAGTCTGAGGTGGGGATATTTCTTCACTGCCTTCATAATTTTCTTGTGCTCGTTGGCCAGTTCTCTGAGGGTTGTTCATGTGATGTGCTGCTGGGCCTGTATACGGCTGTCCATGCACATGGTTATTCTGGGAGGGGAGAAGAGACGTGCACGTTAAGGCTTTTCATGTATTAATCTCAAACTTTATAATCATGGGCTGAAGTTTATGGAAATGTAAACACTTCTTTTATTCCTGAGACTTACAAAAAATAAAAATGCTTGGCTTAATGTGAAAAAAGATAACTGGTTTGAATGAAAAGCTAGTCTAAATGCAAATCCCAAAGCCGAGTAAGAGCAGTGTGAGTTTATATAAATCTTTGGCCGAAGTGATTTTTAGTGCCCCAAATTATTTAGATCCACACCTGACAAATAAGGGACAACAGACTGTTATTGTCTGTGGTAAAAAATATTCACAAAAAATGATTTGTGAGCTGGAACACATCTATTCTGACTCTTCCAAGCACCATGAAACTTCCATAAGCTAAATCTGATTGATCATATGAGAGCTGCCTGAGCAATAACCCTGAACATAGAATGAAGTTAATGAAAACAAAACAATGTGGAAGAAGCTAGTGGATTAACAAGGCATGATTAACATATGGGCTGAGGAATGTAACTTCTTTCCTTAGGATTTGGTTCCTTAACTTTTTACGCCCCCCGAACCCTCACTTTTCTGTACACCCCCCCCACACACACACACTAGCCAAGCCAATAAGAGTTTAGGGTTTACTTTCTATAATTTGTGTTATGAAAATAAAAATAAATATACATTTTCTAACTATTCAACGTGCTTCTATTTTTACCCTGAAATATACGAAAGAATGCCTTACATAATAGTTCTGAAAGTATGGTTTCCAGACTAGCAGCAGCAATCACTTGGGAACTTGCTGAAAATGTATATTTTTTCTGATCCCACACCCAGACCTACTGAATCAGCAGCTCTGGGTTGGGGCCCAGCAGTGCCTCCAAAGATCTGAGTTAGTCACATCTGGGTTTCAGAAAGACAAGCTCTCATTTAGAAAGTGTCTTCATCTTAATTTTATTACGTTATTGATTTTACAGGAAATTTTATGGAACTGTCAAATCCTGAATTTTTTTCAACAATTTTTACTGTCATTGAAGTCTTGGCTAGGCTAAGTAGCCAAGAAATTCTTCCTTGCTGTATCTTAATGTCTTCAGAATCCATTTGCAGATTTAGACTAACAGAAAATATTATCATAATCCTTTGTACTAAATATTGACTATCATTTTATGTTGACATGAATTACCACAGTTTTACTAACTTTCATTACTAGTGCAAGAGGGGCACCTATATGACCAGGAAAACACCACAGGGGCAAGATCAAACACATCACATCATGACCCCACTCCAATCATTCCTCTTTTGATCATGACCCCAAAGCAAGTCTAGATAATCCCTCTATTGAAGTCACAACAACAAATTTAGCCATCCTTTAAATAAAGCATAAAAACTGGTTCTAGGGGGATAAAAACACAAACTGACCCCTATTTACCTGCTGATACTGAGATCCAGGTGAATGGGGATATAATGGGGCATCTTCAGGTGGAGGTGACTCATGCTCATCTGGGGCATCTTGGTCATCTGGCTCCTAATGTTAAATATTTAAAGATAAAGAATTATGTAGGCAAATTCAAGTTTATTTTTATTTGAAATAAATTTTTAAAAATCTACAGAACTGACCCACTAACAACTTTTCTTTTACTGTAGATAAACAAATTAAAGCTACTTTAAAAAATCCTAATTTGGGTTCTCTTAGAAATATTACATTTCAGGCAATTTCACAGAAATTTCTCTAAAAGGCGGCGCCCTCATTAATGTAAGGCCACATGTGGTAAAAATTAAAGCAAATGAAGCATCAACATACTTTTTTTTTTTTACATTATCATTATTAATACATAAACACTGGCCTATAAAGTAAAGAATTACTTTGCTTTCTTCCATTTCTATCTGCTGCACACTGGTGTTATTTTTTACCTCCTCTGGACAGAGTTCACAAGCTTTTGCAAGTGTCATCCTAGCACTGTGTGATCTCTCCAAGAAATAACCATTTGATGTTTCATTGCTTTGCACCGGAGGAGACCAATTGTTGTAAGTGTATTGAGGATTGCCAGTGTATGGTCGTCTTTCAAGTTCATCTCCAAGCCATTCCACCGCCCAGGTCCACTTTCTTTTAAGATCTCCATTACCCTTCAAAAGAAAATACATGCAAAAGGTTTCAGAATACTTTTCTAAGTTTACTTAAAATGACAACTCCAAATTCTCTATTCTTTTAAAACAGAATTTTTCATTTTGATTCAAATTTCTACAGAATTATAAGAAAAAACCCTTACCTGCAGAATCTGGTAAGCAACAGGACAATTGCTAAAGAGAGCTACCATACATTTTATACATTGGTATGCTCTTTTTTGATAGTGATTCTTAGAGCGCTGGATTGTGTCAAATAGTCCATCTCGATCATCTGGGATTCCTTTAAGGGCATTATGAATTCTGAAAGAAAATCAGATATAAAATAAAATAGTTAACACATATTGAGTGCCTAGTACGTGCTGCTCAATAAATGTCTTTGATGTAGTCACCACGTAATCTAATGCTAGACAGTAGGCAGTTATTACACCCTTGAACAGGCGAGAAAATGGGAGAGGTTAAATAGGTTGCCCAAGGTCATATAGCTGCCTAGCAGACTGTACTCTTACCAACTTATTATCAACCCCAAATGCTTTTGCTATCTATGTATGTAATTCAAATATATGACCAGAGTGAATTCAGGGTACTAAGAGTAATACAAACTTAAAATTAAAGTTAACTAAGTTTATGACTGCTGTACTTAAGAATTTGCTTCAAGTCAGTTCCTTTTATAAAACTGCATTTCTAAACGGAAGTTAGAATCCAGTGGCTATGAAACAATGATATAATTTGGAAGTACAGAGTTAACTTGATTTTTAATGATGAGAACACATGGGAGGCAAAGCAATTTTCACCAGCCATACTATAATTTGGCTGATTTGCCAATGATGGAGGATTTCACTTTAGTGCCTGCTGAACTGCAACAGAATACGTAGTCAATGATTTTTTGTTGTTCTCCCCAATAAGCATTTAAAAAAATGATTGGGGGGGGGGGATGTGCCTTGCTTCTTTTGTGTAAAAACATCACCTGCGAGTGAACAAAATGTAGTATATACATATAGTAGAATATTATTCAGCCTTAAAAAGGAATGAAATTCTGACACATGCTACAACAAAGATGAGCCTTGAAGACATGTTAAGTGAAAAAAGCCAGACACAAAAGGACAAATAAGTGTATGATCCCATTTATATGAGGTATTTAGAATAGGCAAAATCAGAGAAAGAAGGAATAGTGGCTACTAGGGGTTGGGGGAAAAGGGAAACGGACAGTTGTTTAATGGTTATCAAGTGTCAGTTTCGGATGATGAAAAGTTCTAGAGATGGATAGTGGTGATGGTGTAGCACAACATTGTGAATGTACTTAATGCCACCAAATTGTACTTAAAAATGGTTAAAATGGTAAATTTTGTTATGAGTATTTTACTATTTAAAAAAAAAACTTTAAAAAAATTTTTAAAAAGCAAAAAATTACCTGCCTGTAATTCTACTCCAAGATATATATACATATATACATATACATACATATATATCTATATCTATATCTATCCAAGGGAAACTGAACACAGGTGTTTTTAAAAAAACCCAAAAACTTGCACACGAATGCTCAGAGCAGTATTCGTAATAGCCAAAAGGTAGAAAACAACCCAAATGTCAATCAATGGATGAATGGATAAACAAAATGTGGTGTATCCATACAGTGGATTATTTAGCCATAAAAAGGAACAAAACACTGATTTTGTGCTCTAACATGGATGAACTTGAAATATGCTAAGTGAAAGAAATCAGAAACAAAAGGACACATTCTATGATTTCATTTATAGGAAATGCCCAAATTCTGGATACTTTGTCTATGGATAGAGGCAAAAAGCAGACTAGTGGTTTCCAGTAGATGGGGGGAATAGGGAATGGTTGCTTAATTGGGTATGGGGTTTCATTTTGGGGTGATGAAAATGTTCTGGAATTAGATAGTGGTGATGGTTGCATAACATTGTGAATGTACTAAAAGCCATTAAAATGTATATTATATAAAAGGGTTAAAATGGTGAATTCTATGTTCAGTGAATTTTACCTCAATAAATAAACATTACCTGTATAGTCTGTAAATTTAAAAAATCTTATGTACACCATATATTTTAATTAATAGAAGGTTCCAAATCAAAATGTTAAGTTTTTGTTTTTTTTTGGGGGGGTGGCATTACACACATTCATAAAATCTGTTTTGTTTGGAAATCATGACTTCAGCAATTTTGCAAAGTTTAATCATTTCAGACCAAATATTCAACCATGTACAGGTTTCTTGCTGTTTAATCTGAAACACTACAGGATATACTCCTTTTTTGTTTTTACCTTGTTACTTTTGTTTTTACGTTCAGTTTTGTCAAGTGGTAATGAAGTGCTAAGCCATTATTTCTGCCACACCATGTTTTCTTTCCATTACTTATTAAATGCTTTCAAATGCCATTGTTAATCAATCAATATTATCTTTTCCTGCCTTGTTTCCCAATGTCTACAGTGCTGGGCACATGGTAGATGCTTCATAAATATTTAAACACTGCTTACTGAATGAACTAAAAGCTCACTAGGAGAACATTATTTTCAAGCTTGAGCCAGTGATTCATAATAACCATATTTTACTAATCTCATTACACAAGGTCGATTTCCCAGGTTTAATCCAGCAAGTATGCCTTTACCATTATCACTTGCTCTAATGAAACAAGAGAGCTAAGATGTAACTAACTGGTTTGAAGCTATAAACACTTAAAATAATTTTAAAAGAAAATAGTTATATTATATTAAAAACAAATTCTTCAAGAAGTTTCAAATCCTTTGATCATATTGAGAAAGGTGCTAAAAAGTGCTCAAAATAAATGGTTAGTTTTGGAACTACTAAATTTTGTATATCACAAAAATTGATTCTAGTTCAATGCCATTAATTTGACTGAAATCTATGATGATACTTTTGGAGATAATTTGACAATATGAATTCATGAATTCTGGCATTTGCAATCCCCACTAAGACTCAAGATTATAATTTCTCTTTTAAGTATTTTGTTGTTACAGAACCTGTTTTCAAGTTTCTGTTTTAATTATTATATTGACATACTGGAGGCAGTCTGTTATATAGATTTTGAATTGTTTCCCCAAATAAACCATTATATAATACTATCCTCCACGTGGGTAGGGAATTTACACAATCTGGCAGAGTTGTCAACTAATCCCGTAGTTCATCATCATCTGTATAACTCTTAGGATTAAAGATGATATACCAAGCCTTTATGGTAAAAAACCAAACAGAGTAATTCTGGAGGAAGCCTGAGGGACAGTTAAGCTGGATAACAGTTCTTAAAACAAAAACAACCCCCCCCCCCACCGGCCAAGTTCTCACATACTGAAAAATTATAGTTGATGCTCATTATTCAGATTCCATATTGGTGATTATGTCTACTTGAACTTTATTTGTAACAGCAAAAAAATTGACACTTGTGGTGCTTTCGAGGTCATGAGCAGAGTGATAAAAGTTGACTTGCCCAATATACATTCCCAGCTCAAGTGGAACAAAAGGACATTGCCTTGTTTTAGTTCATACTGTAAACAAGTGTCCTTTTTGCTGTTTATTTAGTGACACCTTTTCCACACTTCTGTGTTTTTTGTTCATTTCACTGTTTAAAATGGCCCCCAAATGTGTAGTGAAGTGCTGACTAGTGTTCTTAAGCCCAAGAAGGTTTTGCAGAGAAAATACGTGTTGGATAAGCTTTGTTCAGACATGAGTTAATGTGAGTTCAATGTTAACGAGTCAGCAATATACAGTAAAACCTTGGTTTGCGAGTGTTCCGCAAGACGAGCAAACATTTCTATTAGGTTGGTGCAAAAGTAATAGCAATTGGCAAAAACCGCTATTACTTTTGCACCAACCTAATAATACATTTTAACTTGATAAACAAGCAATGTTTTGCAATATGAGTAGTTTGTTTCCGGAACGAATTATGCTCGCAAACTGAGGTATTACTGTATAAAGTGTCTTTAAAGAGAAACACAAATTTAAAAAAGGTTATGTACTGATTGGTTGACAAAAATATAATCAGAGGCTTGCAGGAACATAACCTTATATTTCCCCCAGGAAAAATGCTTTAGTAATCACTCATTCAGTGTTCTCGGTGACTTTTATAGAATTTAACTACCATGAATAATAGGAAGTGACTGTGCTTACCTATGGACCATTTTTAGATAACCAAATGTCATCTCACATGACTAACTCTAAAACTAATGTAATTTAATCCTAAAATAACCCTAGGGCATCATTAATGAAATTAAATTATTCACCAACAGCCTATGCTACTTTTTGTTAATTAAAAGAAACACCTGAAAGAAAAAAGTTAGTATATGAAGTATGCAACTTGGGCAATGGGAGAAAAAAAAAATTGTGAGAAGAGGGGAATTTTGCATTCATTCTTGTCTTATGTTTTTAAGATCCTCCCAGAGGTAAAAAACATGTGCTGACTAGCCATTTTATTGGGTTGTCAGAAAAGTCATGATGTATTTTTTTCTATGTTTTTCGTTGCAAAAATGCGTCATGACTGTTCCGACAATTCAATAGTTAGTCTAAAAGTTGGGCAATTAACAAAAAAGGGTACCTACCTGTGAGTCTGCCAGGAGTCCTCAATCAGTAAGATTTGCAAAAGCAGATCCAAATAGGGCCGGAGTTCATAAGTATAGGAATATGCAACCTAAAAAGAGGTAAGACATGGTGAACAACTTATTTAAAGGAATAACAAATCAAATATAGACATGAATATTTATTTTTCTTTAACCTGCCAGAGAAGTTCACTGAGGACAGTAGATGAGAACTGAGGATTCTCCCAGCAGCAAAAACGAAGCAATTTGACAGTTTCCTCTGAGTTACTGCAGTCCTCAATGATTTTCTTCACATAACTTGTTCTCACAAATAAAATGTCTGCCACATTCTGCTGAATCGGCATTATAGGTTGTGATAAATTAGGATCGCCAAAAGGATTGGGAAGCGGAGGATTACCTAGAATACAAATTTGTCATCAATGAAAAACTAATAAGCTTCTCCACAAAAATACAAAGCTTTCACTATAGAATAGCTTATGAGTTATTTATTTTAGAAAAATAACATTTTAAATCAAGTTTTCCTAAGTACAACGAAGAAAGGAATATTAGGCATTACAATGATGATAAAATGCAAAATTTAAATGTCAATACTGGCATTTACATACATACATACATATACATATACATATATATGTGTGTGTGTGTGTGTGTGTGTGTGTGTGTATATATATCTATCTATCTATCTATCTATCTATCTATATATATATATATATATATATAGTTAATTCTTAAACTACTTCATGAATAAGGTATCAACCTCAGTAGCAAGCAGACAGAAAAAGATCCCCTATAAACATGTTAGGACTCTAATATAAATATTTCACAGCATAAACCTTCAGACTCTTGTTTTATATTTGAACATCTGCAGAATTACTTTTAATCTGGTACTATATATGCCTAGCAGTATTTTAAAACCAATGTAAAGAATGGATTTTTTTACTTTACCATTGATTGAAGACTGCATTCTTGAAGAGACATTGCAACAGCGGATCAGCTGTGATACTACAGAGTATAATTTGCCTAATTCAGCATACTGATACTTGATTGGAGGACCTGGGCCTTCATCTAAAGACACAAGCATGAAGGTGGCAGGTACACTCAATTTCAGAAGCTGTGTCTTCTCTGCCACACCTACAATGAAGGGAGAAGTGGGAAAGAGGGAGAAGAATTATGAGAGGAAAGAAGATGGTACGGGCTTCATAATAAACTAGTTATCTAAAATATTTTTCTATAATATTTATGATCAGAAGATCACTTTTACTTAGCATATAGAGAATTATTTAATCAGAACAGAAGATCTAGTGAGTTAGTATTATTGGATTTAAGTATTAAATGGTTAAACAGTGACCATGACATTTCCCCCACACTAGGCATAAAGGAAATGAACTTTCTATGGCCTGGAGAGCCAGGGGGAACAGCCTAGACTGCAATCCTTATCCTTAGGTAAGATGATAAGAAACTAAGTAGAAATAAGAATTGTTATAAATTGCTTATCTCTCTTCTTTCTTCCACAACCAAGCTTCCTGAAAGAGATGCCTAAATTGGTCTTTCAGCCTTTTCATTTTTCCACTCCTCAACCCATGCCAATGTGATTTCTGCCCCCTTTCCTGGTGTAAAGCTAAGAAATAGTTCTCAAACTGTAACCATTTCCTCCATCTTTGATTCTATTTTCTTTCTCTCTCTTCTCCTTGGTCTCATTTGTGAGTCCTCCTTTGTCTCTTAAAAAACCAAACCAAAACAACAACAAAAATCAATGCTCCTCCAAGTCCCCATGCCGGGCTATCTTCTCGCACTGTATACCTTCCCTGGACAATCAGACCCACTCTAATGGTTTCAAGTTCCAGCTAATTTCCTTCGGATGATTCCAAAATATTTCCAAACAAGTATCTTAGTGCTCTACTGGACATTTCTATTTGGGTGTCACACAGGCTTTAACTCAATGTACCCAAAATGAACTTCCAGTCCATGTTCTTCCTACTGTGTTTTCCCTCTTAGTACATGGCACCACTATCTGCTCAGTTCATCAAGTTGGAATCCTAGGCATCATTTTTAACGTCTTTTCCATGATTCCCTTTTGTGAATATTCATCCAATCACCAAATCCTAATGATTCTACCTCTAATAAAAAACCCCACAAACTGTCTATATCGCCCTCACTATTCCCTAGCACAGGCCACAACATCTCCTGCCAATGATATAATTTATAGCAATTACCTTTTCATTTGCTTCTATACCCCATTAGGCAACAGACTCTTATTTACTGCCATGTTCCAAGAAGTATAATAAATACAAGTTCACAAGCTCTATCTGAAATCCTGAGATTCAAAAAACTCTTATAAATATGTTCTTTTCATAAAGTTGGTGTGAAAATGTGTTTGGTGGGAAAACCTGGCCTGAACTGACAAAACGCTATTTATTCCCTCCCAGTGTGAATATTCATGATTTACTATAGAAATATTAATGTGTATGATTAAGGCGATGTCTCGCTCCGGTTTAGGGATGTTACATAATGCAGGTGATGTGCACTGTCTTACCTTTCTTAAATCCAAACAATTCAGAACCCCAAAGTATATCTGGTCTTAGGATTTCATAGTAAAGTTTATAGACCTGTATTTGCTTTTATCAGGGAAATTTTAATCAGATTACACTATGGACCAATGGTGAATATAGGCAGTATCTAAAAAGGGAGTTAAACAGAATAGGATTTTTGTGAACGCCTAAATTTTGTATTTCTAAGTTTGAAATACAGATTCCACTTATGTTTGTTTGTATTCTCTTCCTTCTCAACTACAAATTACCAAGTATCTCCAATATGGAAAGGCAAGAGAAAATACGATCAAATACACTCTCTGGAAGTAAAATGTTAAAAAGGGCCACAGATCAATCAGTGATTAGAAAATTTACACACAAAAAACTTAAAATGACAGGGCTGTTTGGGTATAGAATATAATTTTGGCTATAAAGGGTTTAAAATTTGTTTTTTTAAACTTTTAAAGAAGTTATTGAAAACTATTTGCTAAGTCTCTGAATCAGTTCCAAATCTGGCCAAATACACATTATGATCATTAAAATTCTAACTGGAATGTCTCAACATATTAGTCAATTTGGGATCAGTGTACCAACACGATTGACTGATGTATAATTTTTATAATTTCAATCATAGGAAATTTACCCACTCCCAGCTGATTAACACCAAAATGACAAATGAAGGATTTTTGTTGATATTCCCAACTATCCATTTACCGAGTGTTACTGTGCAAAGCTCAGTAATCGAGTTAGGTAGCAACACACAAATTGGAACACTATAAAAAACAAAGTATCAGACAGTACACGACACTTTTAAGGTATTATGGAATCACTGAAATTATAAGGTGATGTTAGAAAGAGCAGGTTACTTTGAGAAGGAGAGTGTTGTTACAGAGAGGTAATAACATATAAATAACAGGGTAATTTAAGTGAATATTTATAGTATCCTTAATTTTAATTTAGTTTACTTCAACAAAAACTTATGCCCAAACTTGGTGAGTATCACAATCATCTGGGGGCCTTCTGAAAATGTGGATTCCTTGTGCTAGTTTTGAGAATTCTGACTTAGTTGGTGTGGGACAGAGCCTAGAAATCAGTATTTTCAAAAACCAGACAGATCTGGCACCACCACTTTAGTAGGAGATAAAAATATGATAAAGATACAGGTTCTGATCTGTGTCTACTGTAGAGATAAGATACACGCATAAACAACCATAAGGTACAAGGTGAAAAGTACAGTGAAAAAGTATCAGATAAAATTCATAATAGGTTTTATGGAACATTGTTTCTATTTTAGACCAGGTTATATCTTATCACTTGACTTAAATGACTTTACCATTTAATATAACACATTAAAACAGAATTAATAACTTAAATTCTTACCTAAATTGGCATACATTACAAACAGGTTGAAATACTGTTGTAAATGACGTCCATGTTCTGAAACTTCCCTTCTCAAGAGATTTAGTACAGCTCTTAGTAAGTGATCGCTCAGGCTTAAGTTGTCATAAGCCTGTAAAAGATAAATAAAACATTAGCTGTTTTTCAGAAACAAGGTGCAGGTATGATATAATTTTATTTGCATAAAAAAGAGATATGCACATATATGTTGAATACAGGCAGAAGTTTCTGGAGGGACGGATGACAAAGCAATTAAAAAGGGTTGCTTAGAAAAGGGAATGAAGACCCAAGGTAGATTTCATTCTAGAGCCTTCACGCTATTCTAGTTTTCTAAAAAGTGGAAGTCAAGTTAAGAAAAAATTTAAAAATAATCTATATAACAATTAAGTGTATAATTAAGCCACTGCATCTAACTGAATTAACAGAGAAAATTATGGTTTTTAAAGAGGTAATAACCACTTTCATTGCTGTGAAGTACTTTTAATGGAACCCATAGACATCGGATTGTGCAGTGTGTGTGTGCACATGCATACACGTTTGTTAGGTAAACATATCAAACAGATGCACATATATTTGTAACTTTAAACTTCCAGGAAAGAGAAATTTATTTGTAAACATTTAATAATTAGAAAGAAAACTACGAAAATTACCTGACTAGAAGGTCCAGGAGATGCAAAAGGTGAAGGACATGGCCCATCTTGCAAGGAAAAATGTGCAATAAAAACTATAAGTTTTGCAAATGCACCCCTCACTTCTGCACTAGGGCACTCCAGAAGGTATTCAGAAAAGCGATTTGAAACATTAAAAAGGACATTATGAGCAAACCAAAAACGTACATTCTTGCTGTGACGAAGGAGAATACACAATGCATCATACCTAAGACAAAACAAAACAAAAATTTATGAATATCAATTCATTAACGTGTTTGCTATAGTACAGGGATAAGTCTCTAGGAACTAAATATAAATCAAAGATCTTTTACTACTGGAGGGACAAGAACCATCAATGGTTGCTTCTGGTACTAATATTAAAATGACAGATGAATACTATGACTTGGTCTATTCTTAAAGACTGACAAAATAGACAAAATCTTGTATAATCCTCTATAAATCCATTACCAAAGGCTTTCTAGGTTCAATTACAAAAATAATTATTCCACCTTTCTTTAACATCTTACTAGATAAGTAAAAGTTGTTAAATCAAAGTATTAAGTGACCTCTATACTTTCACAATTAGAAACAGGAAGTTCATTTTATTTTTTTACTCTTTTAATCTATGGCAAAATTTAATCTAGGGAAGCTAAAATATAATTTCCTGATAAAACAGTTTAGACTTTTAATTATCATCCTGTAATCTTTTGTATAGGGATGTCAAAGATATGATACAAAATAGAAGCAGAAAAGCCTGCCTCTGAATAATAAAAGGCCATGTTTAGTCTTGAGTAATTATTTTATAATTTCTCTCACTATTGCTACAAAGCGTTTTATTCTGCATTCCAAATCTGAAACAAGATTATTACAGTTTGGAAAAAAATAAAGCAGTGTATTATAGAACCAAACTAAATGCTAGTATAATAGGAATGAAAATCCAAAGCAATATACCAATCACTGGCAGAGCCACGGACTATTTTCTTGGTGTGAAATCCTGTGGTAAAGAGGAACCTAGCAGCAAGCTGAATACTAATCATAGTGATTTCTTCTGCTTCAGGCAACAGGTGATCTTGTCCTATAAATAAAATGTGGAAATATATATATGTGCGTGTGTGTATACATACATACACAGACACACACACACACACACACACACACACAAACCCAAACAAATTTCTATGTCTGAACCCCATTTTCAAACAAGTCTGCATTTCCACTACTTTTCAGAAGTCCTAACTTTGTTAAAACCCCTCTTAGGCTACTCATAAAATAATTCTTAGTGGTTCTTTAAAGCATGTTTCAAACTAAGGCTTGAGTCAAAAACAAATTGTTACAATAAACAAAAGCTCGTTTCCAAATATTGTAGTAAGACAATATGTACTGCTCAAAGGTCACAGTCATCTGAAATATGACTTTAAAACAACCCAAAGTAAAAACCCCAAAACAAAGATGCCTACTAAGAAATCCTGCAAGTAAAGTTAAGAGTTATGCTTTATTACTAAGAAGCTAAATTTTTTGATACTTACCTGGAGGAGGATTTAAGTAAACACCATTACATGTAAGCAGTTTTTTCATAAATTGAAAGTATTCCAAACTGTACTGCATTCGGTTATGCATGAATTGTACATTTTGTTTCCGTACACTTCTCTCAATGGCTGATGGCATAATAATCTGATGGGGTCTTGTGGTGACAGAAAGCTCTGATATATATCTTATCAGCTCATCACCTTGGTCTATTGTGTCCAACCGCTCATAAAAAAGTATGTAAGCATTCCACCACCTTTTCTGGCGCCTGTATGACATGCGCTTCATCATGTGATCAAACACTTCTCCCATGTACTCTCCACCGAAACACTGGTTTTTCATTTCTTCATCATCATCCATTTTACACTCTGTTACATCTCCATCATCAAATTTATACCAGCGATTTCTCTCACCATCTCCACCATTCCTTTGAATGATATAAGAATAATAATGTCCCCCACTTGCTTGACCACTGTGTACAAGCACACCCACAAGTCTGTATTTCGTGCTTCCAGCTGTCTCACTTTCACACTGCTCATTCTGTTGTATCAACTGACTCTCTGGGTTTACATTATCTCCTTCCAGCTTTGCAACACCTGCAACTGTGTAAGGTTCCATGTCCAGCTCTCGAGGAAATTCAAAATAATCATTGAACTTGATTGCACATTCTCTTTCCCAGTCATAGTCGAATCGTTTTAATTGAATAGCAAGAACAGGAGGTAATTTTTTAATTAGCAAGCGCTTTACGGTATCAACCTAAAATAAACAGAGTAAGTTACTACACGTTCTCTTATAATCCACTGCAAAAAACATATACATACAAGATAATGAATACATCAATCAAGGTAATCCTGTCACAGTTGATCTTTTAAAAAATGTTAACTAAAACTAATATGGAAATAGCTGATGCCATTTACTACAAATTGCAAAAATTAGTGACTCAGATATTACTTGCTGCCTGGTTTCTATACTGTCATTGCCATCTAACCATTATTATTACTTGTTTGATATTTATTATTCTAGTGAAGGTGTGGTTTGCTGTGAGCAAACTGAAGATATATAATAATAGCAGATAGTATTTATTGGGTATTTAGGTACCAAGGAATATACTAGGTGCTGCCCAAGTAGTAACATATTCAATCCTCACAACCCTCTCAGGCAGGTACTACTGAATCTTAAGGGGTAGCAGAGACATTAAGTAACTTCCCTCAAGTCTCAGCTGTGGGTGGCTTCACAGTTCACCATGTCAACCTCTAGACTTTAAGGTGAGAGGGTTTGGGAGCTCAGAAAGATACACAGTATTTACTGTATGTTATGTGTGAACTGTCTCTCTCAAAAAGCTGTTACGTGCCCACACATAAAAACTAATCAGATGGGTCTACAAATTGGATCCAAGTGGTTTTAAAACACAGATGGTAGAAGAATTCTCATGTGGCTCAAGTTAACGGTTTTAGCAAACTTCTTGGTCTTGACAAGTAACCCTGGGACATGAGAGAAGAAATGATAGGTTCTACAACTCTGTAGCTTCAAAGAGTTCAGTAGCAGTTTGGTTGAGTATGGATTGTACGTGTCTGTGTAACTCAGATAAGAGAATGTGATATGAAGCTATTATGACTTCTAAAATGCTTCACTCTTATCTCACCTGTTTTCCCCAGTCCTCTGGCACTACCTTCTCTCAATTTTTCCCTCACAAACCTTTAAATCTGTTATCTTAACTACCTCTCTGCTACCACTGTAACAAATCAGGGTAGGGAATAAGGTGGTGAATATTGAGGACAAACAAAAACGTCTTCCAAATCCATTACATGTATTATAATTACAATTATTTTAAACAAAACTGGACAACTCATACCTTTTTATTGCATTTTTCACAATGATATGCATTTGCACCTTCTAATAAATCTCCTTTGACATATTGCTCCAAAGAATCAAGAAGATTTTGGTGATTTCTAATGTCTACATTCAAAGTCGTAAAAGATTCTTCGCACTCGTATCTAAAGATATTATTTAAGAAATGATCGAAAAGGATTTATTCTTTAGTTTTCTAAACATTTTATTTAGTTACGCACTTACTGAAAATCACATTTGCAATATTTATAACATGAAACCCATAAGTCATAGAATGTTACCAATAAATGATATTATTGGGTTGTCGGAAAAGTCATGACGCAGTTTTGCAACGAAAAACAGAAAAAATACATCATGACTTTTCCGACAACCCAACAGTCACCATTTATAGGTCAGGTCACCTGTCCTGTGCTGAACACTACATTTGGGTGTTTACATACTATATATATAAGATTCTCTGTCTTCATAACCAACCTGCTAGAGAAATATCACTATCTCCACTTCAGAGATGAGGAAACCAGGGCATTCAGAAAGGTTAATTTGGTCAGGATAACTAGGTGAAATGGTGTTTTGAAGCCAGGTCGCTCTGGCTTCATAGCTTAAGCTCTTTATAGTCTACCATGCTGCTTCCACTATCATCTGTTTAGACAATTCATGCCAAGGCCAAAGCATGAATTCATCAAGTTCTGAAAAAAATATTTTAAACTATTAATGGGCTGAACTTTAAAATGTTCTTCCTTTTCTTTAATGGAAACCTTAGTAAAGCACAAGATTGAACACACAAATGACTAGGGGACAAGCAATCTGAGTAGGAGCCAGAATCCCATCTTGTGGCAATTTTCTAAGGAATTTTCAGGTTTCTGATGAGACATATTCATAAATTCAGAAAACGGGACATGGGGAATACATTCTCAAACATCAAATTCACTCATTCAACAAATAGATTGAGAGTGCGTTCCATGTGAAAAGCACTGTGGGATAGTCAATATTTAGGACAGTCCCTCATATTTAGGTCTCTTCAACGTATTAATAGGGAAAAAAGACAAGTACATAAATAAAAGCATTTATATGTGACATTAATGGAACATGAAGTAGGTATTAAGCAAATGGCTACTATAAATAGGGGAAAGCCCATAGAAGAGAAAAAGTTAGATCTTATGACTCTAGTTAAAAAGTAAGACATTCTAAGATGAGAAGTCAGCAAAATTTTTCTGTAAAAGGCCAGATAATAAATATTACAGGCTTTTTTGGGCTGTGAGGTTTCTGTGGCAACTATTCAACTCTGCTGTTATAGCGAAAACAGCCAGATAATAAGTAAAAGAGTGGGTATGTTCCAATAAAACTTTACAAAAATATGGTACACAGTTTGTTAACCCTTGTTCTAGACAAATAACGCCCTAAACAGAGAGTTGGGGCTCTTTATGTAAACTTCTGGCATATAACAAGACTAGTTTAGTTGTGGAGCAGTTATTTGAACTTCAGGGATCTTATCTTAAGATCATGCTCTCTGGAGTTTCACTTAGCAAAGAAAACCAATAATTTCCAAATAAATTTGAAAACTGTCTAAAAAACCCAAAAAGGACTGACAAGAATAGAAGACCAAAAGTTGGCTACTTTATCAGTAATTAAAAACAAGAAGTAAAAATGACAATTTTATTGCTCACTTAATGTAAAAGGTCTTTCAAAAGGACCAAAAAATGTTGGCCAGGCCATGTGAACAATTATATGCCCTTATTCTGAAAGGACTGTTTAACCTAATGGAAATTTCTCATTTATATAGTATTACCTCTCCTCCAATTATTTCCCTATATTAAAAAATGAAGCACCCCCACCAACCATATACACAACCCATGACTACATATAACACTGTCTGGACTTGTAGAAAATACTATCTTAGTGTGATTATTTTGGAGAAAAGGGATTTCACACCAACATTAACTGATAATATACAAGAAAAGTTCCAAAGCAAAACTTCCATGTAATAGGCATAAACATGTGTCTATCAGTAATGAACTTAATAGTTGCTGAACTATTTTCAACAAAAGCCCTTACTCAAACAATTTCCAATTTAAGTAAAAACAAAAACAATCTGTTTAGTCAACTCTTGCTATGTTTTGTGTGGAAAACATAACTTAAGGATAACAACCATAATCAATGCTATTTTAAAAGTCAGTATTTCACTTGTACAGGAAATAGTGCTCCATGTCTGTTATCTTCTAAACTTATTATAATTATTTTAATTGTAAAATAAAGGACAAATTTATAAGTAACAACCTTTAGCTGTTATACAAAATACCATTTTATTTCCTTACAAATGACCATACATAAAAGAATTTAAGAGTATGAAATAGAAAAAGATGAGACCAAGAAAGGAACCAAGTTATTTGACAAAAACAAACAAAAATACTCCCACAGCTGTAAGGTATATACAGCGTTATCATTCATCCAGTCTCAGGTATTTAGTAATTGGTGACACACTCCACTTTTATACATAACTACTACTAAAAATTTTACTTTTGTTAGTAAATAAATAGTACAACATATACTAAAATACGTAATTAGCACTTACCTATGTGGGCAGCCTTGGCAAATCTTCTGATCAGCAAAGGAACCTCCTAAAACTTTACTTAGCATAGCTGGATGTCCTAAGGCTTTCAAAGCTTCATCTAAACTATCCACCAGTGAATTAAAAAATTCTAAAGCATCATGTTGTTCACGTAGATTAACAGGCTCACCCCAAAGCCTAAGAAATGAATGGATAAAATTTGTAGTGTGTGTCACTCCCAACAATATATAAAATATATTTTTCAGGAAAAAAACATAATAGAATCACAAATGACAGTATATAAACTAAGAATTTCATTCCTCAATTATGTGAGGAAGAAGGAATAAATGCTCTTTTACATATAGAGTGCAATGGAGTGAGAAAATAAGAGTGACAGTCCAGTGGGGAAAAACTGAAATTTCTGGTGTGGGTGACGGAAAATAAAGCCCTGAGATGGATGGTTGCTTTAGGTAATATGGTATAGCATGCATTTTGAATCCAACTGAAGACGCTATTAAAATGGGGTGGTAGATGTCACTCTTACTTAGAGGTTGTAATTGCTATTCTTTTATTTTGCTTAAATTCCAGGTTATAGACACAGTGTAAAGATAATATCTATTTACTCTTAATTAAATTGATTTTTCAAAGTGAAAAGAGAAAGGTTTGAAGTAGAGAAGGTGGACCAGAGTGGTGGTATCAGGGACTCTTGCCTTCCCTTGCTCTCAGCAGTCTGGAAGATACCCTGAAAGGGTTTTTCTAAGGAGTGTTATTTTAAAACCCACTGCTATGAAGGATTATAGTTTTTTAATATACACAGTAAACGTGGTTGTACTGTGGTATACACAGTGCATGATACATACCAGGCAATGATTTTTAAAACTAAAATAAATTGGGCCGGCTGAGTGGCTCAGTTGGTTAAGAGTGCGAGCTCTTAGCAACAGGGTTGACGGTTTGATTCCCACATGGGCCAGTGAGCTGTGCCTGAGCTGAGCTGCCAACAGGAGGCAGAAGGGCTCAGCTGGTGAGAGCACGTGCTCCTAACAAGGTTGCTGGTTCGACTCCAGCATGGGATGGTGGGCTACGCCCACCTGCAACTAAGATTGAACATGGCATCTTGAGCTGAGTGGCCGCGAGCTGCTGACGGGTGTCCAGATGGTGACTGGACATGGAGCTGAGCTAGCTGCGCCCTCCACAACTAAGATTGAAGGACAACAACTTGGCTATTCCCCTTCCCCAATAAAATCTTAAAAAAAAAAAGTAAAATAAATGAAGTCAAAGAAATAAGCTCAAGATATCATTGAGGATTAACAATTCTTTTTATAAGTTATTTATCCCACCTTTCCTACAAACTTGTGCATCAGGATAGCCAAATACTTAGTAAGGGAAAGTTTCCCTTTATAGATCTATTCCAGCTAATAAATGAAAGAATGACAAAATTAGAAAAATGCCATTTTGTAACCCAGATTGTAATACTGTATTTAGGCAATGATGGTCAACGGTAACCATCATAAGAGACACACTTAAGTCCTCTGCTCACTGAGGTCAACATTACCACCTATGAAATAGCCATGCCTATTCCATTTCAAAAAAGAAAAATAACTCCTCAATTTGATCAAGCCTCTAGATCTCACTACCTATTTACAGGACATACCCGGGACTGTGGAAAAAAACTACTGAAATACCACAGGGATCCCATTAATAAAATCAGGAAGGCTGGAAAATTTACAGGGTAAACTAAAGGTAAAACTACCTGGTTTTTTTTTTTTCTTCAACAAATAATTGCAAGGGTGAAAAAGATTGCAAGAGACTCAAGAATCATATCAACATTTGTGGTATTTGGATGCTGATTTCAAAAAGTACACAGTAAAAAAACCAATTATGAGATAATTGGATAAATTTGAACACTGACAAGGATAGGAAGGATTTTTTTAAAAAAACAAGATTATAATCTTTTTTATTTTTTTATTGCGGAACAGTGTTTTTTTCCAGGACCCATCAGCTCCAAGTCAAATAGTTGTTTCAAACTAGCTGTGGAGGGTGTAACTCAGTGGCCCATGTGGGGATCAAACCGGCAACCTTGGTGTTATGAGTCTGAGCTCTAACTAACCAACTGAGCTAACCGGCTGCCTCAGTAAGGATTTTTAACAAGACATGATAACAGTATCATGGTTATTTATGTTTTAAAATAGACATTAGAGACACACCCTGAAATATTTATGGATGAAACTATGTATCTGAGATTTGCTTCAAAACCTGCAAAGAACTAGATGGGAATATAGATTAAACAAGATTGGCAATGAGCTGACAACTGTTGAAACTGGGTGATGCATATCTAAGTGTTCGTACTATTTTCCCTTCTTCTGTGTGTGTGTATATATATATATATATATATATATATACACACATATATATATATATATATAAGCTTGCAAAACAAAAATAAAAAATTATTAACATCTTAAGAGAGAATAAAGAATGCTGCCTCTCCTTACAATGACATTTTCTACTTCCTCCTTTGGGGACAATGAGGAAAAAAAAACCTAAGAAGTTTGAATATTACCATTGCTTAAATATTAAACTTAAGATGCCTTCCGACATATATATTTTACAAGTTTAATGTTAGTGTATTGAGATGCTCACAAAGGTTTAAGCAGTATCCCTATTACTATCCATCCACAGTTTACCTGAACTGTTTCCAAAATCCTCTGGGCACATAATACTGCAGTCGAGAAGCAGCTAAATGACCGAAGATGACCTGAAGGTGTCTTAAAACACCAATATTGTACTCTTTCCTATCTTCTGTTTTACTTAATGCAGGTTTGTCTTCAAATTGTTGAGGATATCCAAATACATCATCTCTGGGATCAACATTGCTCTGGAAACCAAAAAATATTAACGAGTTAATCTAACTTTAAAGTATAGTAAAATATGTTGAGACAAATGCCAAACAGCTAGTGAATAAAATAGACGTACAGATCATTTGTTATTTCCAAAGCACTTAAGTTTCAATTTGTAAATTTTAATTTACAGTATTATTGTTTATCCCCACCACTTCACAAGAGTTGTCATAAAGGAATAACTCTATGTATCTATCAGAGAGGTAGATAATATAGATAATACATAGAGAGCAGTGATTAACTTAGACTGAACTGGACACAAATGTATGTTCTGCCACTTATAAGCTAAGTAACTCTGAGCAAGTCAATTCCTTAACTTTTCTAAGCTTCAGTTTCCTCAGATATAAATGGGGATAACACACTCTTCATGTAGCTGTTTTGAGGATTGCATGAGATAATGTATTTAAAGTGCTCAGGAGTGTAAATATTCAATAAAATATATAAGACATTCAGAGTAGTAATACTACTCAACAAATGGTGGTAGAAAAATTAGATTATCCATATGCAAAAGAATAAAATCGGAACCCTTCCCTACCTAACAACACTGTATATAAAAATTAACTCAAAGCGGCTGGCCAACTGGCTCAGTTGGTTAAGAGCTCACTCAAAAGTGCGAGCTCTGAGCAACAAGGTCGCCAGTTCGATTCCCGGCCTAAGCTGAGCTGCTGCTGAGTTGCCAACAGGTGGCAGGATGGCTCAGCTTAAAAAAAACAAAAACAACCACAAATTAACTCAATACAGATCAAAGACCTGAATGTAAGAGCTAAATCTATGAAACTCTAAAAAGAAAACATAGGGCAAATGTTTCACGACATTGGATTCAGCAGTGATTTATTGATTATGATACCAAAGGCACAGACAACAAAAGAAAAAAAACCATACTGGACTGCATGAAAATTTAAAACTTTTGGGAAAGAAACTGGAACTCTTGTACACTGTTGGTGGGAATGTAAAATGGTATAACCACTGTGAAAGAAGAGTTCCTTAAAAAATAAAAAAATAGAATTACTGTCTGGGTATACACCCTAAAGAACCGAAAGAAAGGTCTCAAAGAGATATTTGCACATTGATGTTCATAGCAGTATCATTCACAATAGTGTCCACTGATGGATAAATAAAATGTGGTCTATCCATACAATGGGATACTATTCAGCCTTAAAAAGGATGGAAATTCTGACACATGGTACAACACAGATAAACCTTGAGGACATTATGCTACGTGGAATAAGCCAGTCATCACAAAAAGACAAATATGGTATGAGTCTACTTGTATATATGAGGTACCTAGAATAGTCAAATTCATAGAGATGGAAAGAGAATGAATGGTAGTTGTAGAATTGTGTCTGAGACCTTTAATACAGAAACAGACAATAACTAATCCCTGCCCACAAGAGACTTAACAGCCTAGGGAAGGAAACAAGCACATAGGCGTGCGCGCACACCCCCCACCACAAAACCAAACCAAACTAAACAAAGAACCAAGACAACATAAAGCAGAGGGTACCATGACAGCAAATGTGGGACATCTTATTTGAAATTGCATCATCTTTTGTCTGCCTCGTTTACTTGTTGTTGGTACAATTAGGTATCTCCAGGGATGTGACAGGCTATAAAACTAGAATTTGAATTTCAATTTTCACTCCAAGCAGTGGTTCTTAATCAGGTATGGGTGTAAGCATCCTCTATGACGCTTTCTAAAAAGGTAAAGATGCTCAGACCCCAAATCCTGCATGATGTGGTCCAGTAGGGCTGGGGAAGAATTGAGGCAAGTGTATGTTTCAGAAGCCCTGTAAGTGATAAACCACCCCAGAGGAAATAGTTCTGGTGACTGAAGAGAGGGAATGAGGAAAGCACCCTTCAAGGTGTTTACTACAATTAGAACACACTCTGGCTTCTCTCTATAGTTCTCACCAACACTACGAACAGGAAAAGGTAAAATAAAAACAAAGGAAGAAGAGGGTGGACACAAACGTGACCACAACTTAAGTTTTGCCATATTCTCTTCTTTAAAGAGCCAACCCATAGTTATGTCAACGGATCTGCCACTACAACCTAACTTTTCCATAGCTTTATTCTGTGTTGGATACTCAGCAGGCAGCCTAAATTTTGTCACAAGACTGTAAAATTTAAAGTAGAAGTTTGCTTCCTAAGCAAGAAGAGCTACATGGTCTGGGAGAAACGAAAAAGCAAGCATGGATAATGAAACTGGCATAGTATACAACTTGGCATAAATTAATGGAGATACAGAATTTAAAATAGCAAGTAGAAAAGTGAAAATATAATGTAAACTATTAGTAAAAATGAAGATCCTTATCATTACACAAACTCCAAATTATATTAAACACTTTTGACAAGAAAATATGAGTACATTTAACTGTTAGTTTAAAGACATATAAACTACCAGAAAAATTAACTGTAGTTTCAAGTCTGGCAGACAATGAACACTTTATTATGTCAAGAAGCAGCAGTCCATGCTGGGAGATTCTAGCTTTATTTTCAAATATACGCCAAACAGGACCAACGAAAGTATAACACTAAGAGAACAGTATCTGGTATCAGAATTTCAAACGCAGAAAACAAAAACACCAAATAAAATTTACCTCGTTGTCCTGCTTCTCATCCCCAGACATATCATCATCAACATCACTACCTGTGCCTTCAATTGCAAGAATACCATTCCGGATGGACGGAATCATGTAGAGTTGCTGAATCACAGAATTCATGTAACAAGTAGCACCGGCATTTTTCAGCCCCACAAAACCTTTTGGTGGGCGGGGTCCAACTGGTGGCAGATATTCCCACTCAGTAAGTGCTTCACACGCTGAGAAGACATAAGATTCTTATAGTACGACTACAACCACCTTGTCCACTTTTAGCTCTAGTAAGCTGATTAATAAACAGCAACAATTCCACCACTTATACAGCCACCCGAAGGTGCTACAAGTTTGCATTTCACCCTCAGGAAACCTAAGAAATACAGCAACATGTACCACTATACAGATTTTCATCCTGCCATCTGTGAACCCATGTTTTTATCTGATGTTGCTTCTAAAGGCAGTCTCAGTAGTCTCAAGATGCTAATTTCTACATGCTAACTTTACTTTTAGCTTTATAGCTTAGTTATTATGAACTTTTTACTTTTGTATGTTTTTTAATGTGCCTTCAAACTCATTCTGGCATAAAATGTTATAACAAGACGTCATCATATTATATAGCTTGCTCAGTCTTAAATAATCGTTAACACCACCTTGGTTCACATCCTTGTTGTGACGCTTATCAATTTGTTTACCTTCTTCAGTTAAGCCTGTTTCCTTCCCAATCTAGTAATAAGTGTTAACAATTGCTTTGCCTATAACCACAATGTTATTTTGAGGAGCAAATTAGAGAGTGGATTTGAAACTTGTGCGAGTTATAAATCATCATACATCTCCCTCCACCTAGTACAAACTTAGAAACAATGTAAATATCACCATGCCTATGGGGCTGGTTCAAGAAATTATAATATATTGAACTGAAAGGCATATAGCCAATAAATGGAAATAGGAAAATATTTATGTCTTGATATGGAACAATCACAGATATATTAAGGGGAAAATAAAGGGAAGAAGAACAGTGTGTACTATATGCCGATCTGTGGTTAAAAAACTAAACAACAACAAAATTTTCTATGTGCATTTTGCATACAGAGATGCTGGGAGGACAGACATGAATTGTCTGTAAGGGTTACAGCTATCAAAGGGGACTAGGGGACTGGAATGAACAGGAAACATACTTTTTAGTATATCCTCCTCCTCTTTGGTACTTGAATTTTTTACCATGCAAATGTACTCCTTAAAAACAAGTGGTCTTTCTCTTTCTGCCATCTTGGAACCTATGGAAGTGTGCTGGGAATAGGGCTTCTAAAACAGCAAATATGTCAGGAAGCTTGTAGTCCAAGGCTATGCTATCTCTTGTTGGCTATAAGCAGAGTATTCTGAAATCAGAGGTACCACACAGCTTCACAAAACCGAAGGTGTTTATGCCAGAAAATGAACAGAATTCCATTCGGGCAAGACATGTGCTCATGTGTACAAAGCAAAGAAAAACACAGTGACTTCTGGTGGCAAAACGAACAAAGCCAGAGTCATCTGGGGTAAGGTAACTCGTGCCCACAGAAAATGTGGCACGGTTCGTGCCAAATTCCAAAGCAATCTTCCTGCTAAGGCCACACTGGACACTGAATCCATGTGATGCTGTATCCCTTGAGGCTTTAAACTTATTGAAATAAAGTGTAGATTTTTAAAAGAAAGGAACTAACAAAAAACTCCCTGCCTCACTATACATAGATTTGGTAGAATCAAGAGCTACAGGCCTAACCTTTTAAGCAGTTATAATCAGAATCCCCTAAAATGTTATTTAAAAAATCTTTATATTCTGTAATACAACATATCAAAAAAATAACTTGACATGTTCTCGAAGATTTACTGTAATCAATTATATTCAATTATATTCTTAAGCTTTGCAGATAAACAGTGGTTGTCTCTTAAAATGAAACAGCCTCCGTTGTGTTTGATTTCTTATTTCTGCTTTTTCAGTCATTTTGTATTGCCCTCATCCCTTTTGAGCTTCAGTTTCCTATCTGTAAGATTTGGAGTCTACAGTCTTGTTCATGGGCTTCATGTGAACATTAACTGAGGACATGAAACACATTAAAATGTTATCTTCTCACATTCTAATCTTTAAAATCAGATTTTCATAGAGTTCATATGAAAATAACATTAAAGAGCTTCTCAGTGATGGCCTGAAAGGTTTTCCAATGCATGAAATTTGAGTTTTAAATTTGAACTCTGGCCTTTATTTTGACGACTTATTACTCTGGAGTTTAGGTTTTATTTCACATTTGATTGAGATGAAATAATTTTGCTCAATACTTGCACCACTTACAAAAAGACATTTAACAAACATTTGAAAACTTTTCTACATTAAGGCTCTTTGCTTGGAATGGTCTTAAATTATACATCCATTTGCTAAAAATGTTAAACTAGATGCTGAAAGAAAAGCATGAGTTGAAGATGTTTACTAAAAGAAAAGTAGGAAAATAGAATTTGAACACATTAGAGAATTATCTCCCATCATAACACTGTATTTTCAAACACTTACTAGTTATTGCTGTGCCAATGTAGTACATTTCAGTCAAAGAATCTACTATCTGTTTGAGATTCCTCACACAGCCAACAGCTAATGCTACAAGTAATTCAAAACCAGCATTAATGGTAGCCGGTGAACCACACACTGGAATAGCCTGTTCAGCTGGCAGTTCTCCATTTCTCATATACTGCAGGTAAACATTGGATGCAGGGAAGATGAAATCATCAATTAATTCCTACAAGAGTTGAAAAAAGGGTTATGTATTATTAGTAATGATATAGTACATATATCATATATTTATATTATATATATATATATATATTTTTTTTTTTTTCTTTCTTTTTTTAGCTGAGCCATCCTGCCACCTGTTGGCAGCTCAGCGGCAGCTCAGCTCAGGCCAGGAATCGAACCGCTGCTACTCAGAGCTCACACTCTTGAGCGAGCTCTTAACCTACTGAGCCACTCGGCCGGCCATATGTATATATATATATTTTAAGGAAAGAAACAAATGTGTCTTGAAATGAAATAACATTAAATTACTTGTCAGAATTCAAGATCTCATGATATCTCAGAAAACTTACTTGGGTTTTCTAATAAAAAAGCTCCTACTTTTTAAAACACTATTTACTACAACTAACAAACACACCCAATTCCCCAGATTAAAGCATTTTTTAAGTATCAAGAGTGAGCTGACCGCAACACTTAACAAAATTTACATTTTAAGTTTACTATTTAAATCACATGTAAACTAAAGCTCATTTTGTATAAAAATAAAATGTATTAAAAAAGATTCTTTTTGCTTCCTTGAATTACCAAATATGAGAAGAAACTCATTAAAGAAATATGATAGGGCCGGCCGAGTGGTGCGATGGTTAAGAACTGGCTTTGGGACGCCAGAGGACCCCGGTTCGGATCCCACATATGAAGGCCAGTGATACTGCCCTCCACAGCTAAGATGCTGAACAACAGCTCAATCTGGAGCTGGGCTGCCGTGATTCGCCTGCGACGGCGTAGGCTGCAGCCCCTGTGGCAGTGGGTTGCCACGGGCTACCGTGTGCAGCCAGTGGCCAGCAGCCAGCGTGAGCAGCCATCCAGAAGCCGGCGACTGATCTGCCTCGCCCGTGAAGAGCGCAATGATGGTGCCAACTTGGGCCAGTGAAGCAACGTCCTCCACAACTAGACTTAAGAACAAAACGACAGCAACTTGTCTCTTCCCCTTCCCCCAATTCCCTAGGGCTGTTCCCATCCCCCAATTGCCCAATAAAAATCTTAAAAAATAAAAAAAATAAATAAAAAGACAAATTAGAAACTTTGAAAAAAAAAAGATATATGATAAACAGGATACAATTTTACAAAATAGATGTGTATCTCACTTTAAATAGTCTGAAGTAAAAAATTCAGATTTCCTAAATATAAAAATGAAATAGCACTTATTTACTGTATAAAATACATAGTAGTACCAAAATTATTTATACTCAAAATTTAGAAATTTAAAAAATTACTGTGACCTCCATAAAGACTCTTAAAAAGTAGAAAAAAAGTCAAGATAATATACCAGACATGATAACTCTAAATTAATAAAGACAGATTTGCTAATAAACATTTAGATGACTATGGTATCTACTTTAGGACCAAGATAACACAACTTACTTTGATGAGATTAGCGCCTCCCTTTTCACAACCAATATGATACTTTTTCTCAGGGGTTTGAAAGGCCAATAACTCTTTTGTTACCCCAAGGTGGCCTTCCAAGATCGTCTCTTCAACACCTGTTTCACCTGTTCTTTTAACATCATCCTGTCAAAGAAAAAATATCAAATGTCTAACTTATGACAGGGAGGTAGAGAGGGAGGGAGGAGCCAGAACAAGAGAGGGCTGGACAGACATGAGGAAATTCCCTCAAACCTTTCCATTCTAAGCAATTAATCTTTAGGACTTTCTAGAAGTAGGCTTTATGAACTACTAGAAGTGCCAATAATGTGAAGGTTAAAGCTACAAATCTCTTTGGAAATAAATTTTCATACAACTCTTAAGTAAAAAGTATCAGGTGTTAAGATCAAGAATTAAATTAAGTGCTAGTCTATCAGACTCATTTTTTTATGAAAACAATTCAAGAATAGTTTATAAGATGAAAATGTACCAAAAGCCCCCAAATTCTAAAATGAAAGAACCTGAAAATCAGTATTCTAAGTCTCAAGTAAAACAGCACTTTACAAAACTAGTTATGCATTCATTCTGTGATTCATGAGTTACTAATATTCACCAATGCAGAGTATATTCTTTGGTCCTTTGGATTACTCTTTGGTGTTTTTCATTTAAGCAAAATGCTCAAAACTATAAACTACTAATTAATAATAAGCTACTCTAGCGATATGGTAAATACTGTATTAAATGCAACTTACCCTAATTCTTTTAAGCCAATCAATTTCATTATTGAGAAGAACTTCAGCATTGGGTATATTAATATTACTATTGTAAGCATAATTAAGAAGGTGCCTTAAGAGAGTGAAGTAGTCGCCTGAATGTTTAGCTCTCTCTCTGGCTGTGCTCTGAAACAATAAAGTAGAATAACATGAATTTATGTGTCCATGCTCAGAATCCATTTTATAAAAACTCAGAGTTTTAGATGACTATAACAGTATAGGAAATTACTAATATTTTATTAAATATAGACTGCCATAACTTTAACACAAGCTAAAACCATAAATTCCTGAATGTCCCTTGTTTAAAGCACAAATCACACTGATACACATATTAAAAAAAATGTCTCACCCCCAAAACGGTAAAGAGCAGAGTAATGAAGAAAAGTAGAGGCCTGTGTCCCATGCAACATCTGGTGCACATTAAAAAGAACTGCTCCTGTGCCACCTGGCGAACAGTTCTGAAATAAAAATGTTTCACATTTAATACATTACTTTCATGAAGAAAAAAAAAAAGATTACAACAGTGGTCTCTCTTGGGGGATGGGGTGGGGAATAAGAGGTAGGTAAATTAAAAATAAAAATACAAGGATACAAAGTAACACCTCCTTAAGCCAGCAACATATAATACATGAATTTAGGCTGCTTATTAAGAACTATAACCTTGAATTGTTACTGAAGAGTCTGAGGGATACATTCTAACACCTCTTTCTTGGAAAAGACTAGAAATGCTCCTTTAGATACAAGATGCTCTATACTGAGGCCTTCCACATCTTTATGGCCTTCCACAGAACTTTGATCCAGTTGTGCTTCGGAGCCAACTCTGTAGAAATTCTGTTCCAATTACAATAAGGTTATTGCTGTAGATGTCCCTTATACTAGTATAGTAGTTCCCCAAGCATGGTCCGCAGATCAGCAAGTGTCATCTGGGAATTGTTAGAAATGGGAATTCTCAGGCCCTATCCCAGACCTGCTGAAACAGAAATACTGGAGCAACCTGTTGTTGTCACAAATCCTTCAGGTGATTCTGACGTGCGCTAAAGATTGAGAACCACTGCATTTTTTATACAATATTCTATGATGAGCCACGAGAAAAACCTGTCTCTGGTCTCAATACTGAGAGAAATTTATCTGATAATTATGGATCTATCTTAAAAAAAAAAATTACACGCCATTTAAGATCTTACTATTATGAATAAATGCTCCCAAAGGGCAGAGACATATTTAGTCTCCTGTGCCTCCAGAACCTAGAATACTGTCTGGCATATACTAGGTGCCAAGTGTATAGATACTGTTGGTTTACAAGATGATGTCTGTTTCCATTAGAAAGTAAGCTCTTTCAGGTCAGGGCTTTGCTTTGTTTCTGGCACCTAGAACAATTTCTGACATATGGAAGAGATGCTCAATAAGTATCTGCTGACTAAGCATTTGTGTATCTTACAGTCATTACAAACTACATTTTGTGGATAACTATCATGTTTGTCTTTGTGCTAGCTGGCAGAGCTTAGAAGCAAATTTATAGTTCAATGTAAAGAACTTGAGAGCATACATTCCGTGTACTAACTTCCCTCCTGAAGATTTTAGGTTTCTGAAATCCATACATGGTCCTATATACCGGAGGGATTTTAGAAGCTCTGTGGGTTGAGTTTTGTGGAACCCAAGTTTATTGAAGCGAAGAGTACCAGTTTTCTGGGGGGAAGGTCCATAACTTTTATCAGGTTTTCAAAGGCATGCCATTCACACTGCCTTAGTTTATTTTTAAGAAGTAGGTATGCAGCCCAAATAGAGTGGGGGTCTATTAAATTGGTGCCTGTGAGTTCCTGATGAAACCTCCCTCATACTTCTGTAATGCTTCCAAAAAAACCTGGGTCTATCAACAAAATCTGTTGCCCATGTCTTCACAACATACTCAAAATCTGATCATTTCTTTCCACTTCTACTAATGCCATACTTCCAACCACTGTCATCTTTCATTTGGATTAATGGCAGTGTTTTCATGCCACTCTATAACCTAATCTCAACAAAGCAACCAGAATAAACGTAAAATGTTAACTCAGAGCACATCATTCCTCTGCTCAAAACCCTCCAATGGAGTCCCATCTCACTTGGGTAAAAGTCAATGGCCTTCCAATCACCTATAAAATCCTTACACGCTGCTTGGTACCTCTCCGACCACAACTGACTGACCTCCGCTTGCCCTCCAGCTTCAACCATACTGGTGTCCCTTCTGCTCTTTAAATGTCAGGCATGTTCCTGCCTCAGGACATCTGCATCTGTTGCTTCTGTGCTTCAAACACACTTCCCCCATTATCTACATGGATTACTATCTTACTCTTTCAGAGCTTGGTTTAATGGTCACCTTTTTAGGGAAGCCCTCTCTATCCTAATACAGGTATACCTCGGAGATACTGTAAGTTTGTTCCAGACCACCACAGTAAAGTGCGTCATAATCTCTTTGCTGGTAGAGGGTCCTGACTTCAAGTTGTAAAAAATGCAACATCTGTGAAGCACAATAAAGTGAAGTATGCCTGTATACAACTGAACTCCACTGACCCCTCCCCAACTCCTTATCCCCTTTCCTGCTGTATTTCTCTCCACAGCATTTATTACTATCTAACATGTCTTTCGTTCCCGTGCCCCATCCCCTTTAGTTCGTAGCTCCAAGAAAGCTGACAGACATTCTGTCTGTTGTTTACCGCTATATCCCCAGTAGCTATTGTAGAACAGTGCCTGATACATAATAGGTACTTGATAAATTATTTACCAATGAGACCACCATATTAAAATCTAACACTACTTAGATCTCAGCATCAAAGGCTTTCTGTAAACTGACTCCTATTTCCTTTACAATAGTATCCTTTACTCTTCTACACAGCAAACAGGACTACTCAGCTCTGCCCTGAAAGCACTATGCCAGGAGTGGCAAACTCAACTGCCTCCATGGATCAGAGAAGTAACATAAAGAAGTTAAAACAGGCAGGGAATAAAGCAACTGGTGCTGGAGGGAGCGGGGGTGGGGGGGGGGGGGGGCACCATATCCACCTAAAGGAATTCAAATCCAATTGTGAGTGTTTACAATAAAATAAGGTCATTGTTACGATGTGGAAACAGACCTCATCTAATAGGAACAGAGATCTGGGAGATTTTCTGAGCCTAGGGATAAGGGAAACTGATTAGAACCAAGAACCAAATTGTAGAGTGCTTATAAACCAAATTGAAATGGCAATGGGAAGACAGGAAAAGATTTTAAGCAGGAAAACATCACAATCATATTTTACAAAGATCACTCTGTCTGCAGTGTGGTCAACAGATTAGAGTAACACCTCATGGACCAGCATTAAGTGTGGAAAGATTAAGGATATTGCAGTTGTCCAGGCAATGGGTGCTGGTTGTTTAAAATGGGTAGAAGCAGTATGGAGAGGAGCAAAGTGTATGGAGTTCAAAAACACACGAAGCATGTAGGGGAGCGAGGGTGAGAGAGCGAGAGCACCACTGATGCCCATCTTCCATTTTCCGCACATATAAATCTTACACAAACATGAGCTCACAAGCTACCTTCTGCAGAGAACCTTCACTTCTGCTCCTTCCAGGTAAAAGTAACTTACTTATTTCTCTTCCGATTCCCAAACTACTTTCTCTTTTATGACACTACTTTGTCTCAAAGTTCCTTGAGTACAACTATCTTATTTGACTTTGGATTCGCATTGCCAAGCACGTAGTAGGGACTCTCATAATTTGCCGGTAGATTAAAATTGTACATACTATGTGGCAGAAATAAGTTGGAACTCAAGAGAACCTTGTCATTTAACTTGTCTTATGCTCTCTATCAGCAAAGTCTACTTCTGAACTGCTATAGAATTAAGTGAGAAAATATATGTGGGAAAACCTTTGTAAATAGCTATACTTGTTAGTAATACAATTATTTAAATATAAACTCTACCTGAAGGGTAACTTCGTGTGTGTGCTGGTTCACACTTGTTTATGTGAAGCCCCTGAGGCCAGATGTGTTTGGGGATTCAGATTTTAGAAAGGTAATGCCAATAAAACCATGTTCAGGTCAGGTTTGCTGGCAAATCCTTACAAACTGGAAATAAAGGATTTTGAACCTGTAATAGGTACTCAGATATTTATAAAATGATTGAAAACTGCAGGGCAGGGTGAGTCAGTACCAGAGAAGAAAATTGGACACCTAAAGCTCAAAAAGATCTTAACCTCAGAAGAGCCCCATTTTTGTCGAAGACAAGGTAACAGAGGCATAATGAGATGAAGTGCTGTCTACAGTACTTCACTTCTTTGTGTGTAAGCTTCAGGGAGGAACGGAGTAGTTCTAATTTCCTATAATGGGAATTTTCATAACCGGTTGAGGGCAGAAAAACCTGTTAGACCAATTTCCTTAATACTTAGTAGCCAAGAAAGTGAAATAAGTTCCTATTTTTTCTTTTAAATTTTAATCACAGTTGACATTCAGTATTGTATTGGTTTCTGGTGTACAGCATAGTGGTTAGACATTTAAGTACCTTACAAAGGTGATCCCTCCAGTAAGTCAAGTGCCCATCTGACATCATACATAGTTATTATAATATTATTTACTATACTCCCTATGCTGTACTTTACATCCCTGTGATTATTTTGTAATTGCCAATTTTCCTAATTCAGTTTAAAATTTAAAAATCAACACATAGTAAGTTATTTGCTACCTCCAGGTTTGACTTCATTGAAACTGTTGGCTAATATCGTTCCTCTCCTCCCTCCACCCAAAGTATTATTATTTGGAATTAGACTTAATCAACCAATTTATCTTTCTTAACATACAGAGTTGTCCAATGATGATAAAGTCTTCTCAAGGAGATAGCAAACTCAACCTTATTTGGGGAGGATCATGTCAAGGGACTTTCTGAATAGGTTGGACTAGATGTCTTCAAGGAAATTACTGAGGAACTTCTCAAGCAGTAGACTATCCCACTGGAGACCCATTAAATACCTTTACAGCATCCTTTGGAGCAAGTTGAACCTACACCATTACATCATGTACATATTTTTTTAAAAAAGCTTTATCACTAGGCTTCATTTTAGCAAATTGCTTATTTTGACCTTACACTTCTTCATCAGTAATTTCTGTCATTGTTGAATGGCATGAGACAGAATAAACAAAATGAACATAAGACCGAGTAATTACATATAGCAGTGAAATAATTAGAGCTCGAGTTTAACAAGTTACCTCATTAAGGTGAGGATTAGATTGCCATGAGGATGGATACCAACGTTTTCCACAAATCTGATTTGCACAAAAGCCCAAAACAAAATCAGTGTCATTGATTAAATGCTGTTCAAATGAAAATGAGGGCTTTACAGTTGGTCTTTATTCTCAGTGTAAGATACAAAAGTTCTTACCATACCCCTGCCTTGTGAATTTCATGTTGAATTAACAACTTTACTAAAACAAACAAACAAAACAAACAACCCTGGCAGCTAGGTATCCAAGATAGGAGGCTAATGTCCTAATTTAAATCTTGTAAACTAGATTGTTAAAATGGCTAAAATATATACCCCTTAGGTGAAATTCTGAAATTAGAGAAAAATTGATTTTATGTTGACAATTAATGTTGGCATTTTGTAGAGACTAAAACCAAACAAATTTAGGTCTAGGCAAAATGGGTTTAAATAAAATTTTCCTAAGTATTAGCATGCTATAGAGACAATAAATATTTGATTTCTGGGATAAATTTCACCAGCATAAATTAATTCCTATTTGCTTACAAAAATAAGATCAAGTTTCTTACAATTAAAAAAGATACTTACTTGCTGTGACAATGCAACAGTAAGTCAATGATGAAAGTCTGCCAAGCCTTTTCTTTACTAAGAGCATCTAAGGCTGTCGGAATCAAGGCAAAACATAACGTCATCACTTCCAATGCTTCACAGCAAACCTGTTCATCTTCCAAGTCCAGCTCATTGCCTGCATTGGTCTGTAAAACGATAGGGGCAAATTACGTAGAACTGCATTTAAGAAAAAGCTCATACAACTTAAAAGTTAGTGCTTAAAACTTACTTACTCACTTAAACCCTCTGGCTTCAGCCTCTTTAACTACCGCTCTTGAGGGCCCTTTGGAATACTATGGAAATGACTATAAGCGACAATGAAGTTTAATTCCAGTATGTTGCTACTTGCCAACGAGGGATGAAGGAGCACACTGAACATACCACCTGTTTCTTCATCCTCCAGGCTTCTAGAGACTTTTTGAGCTGTGTACTTTTGCACCAGCAATCATTCCTTTCTCAAGAACCACTCTGGCACTGCAGTTAGGTACTTCTGACTCGTTTCATTACGTGGTTTATCTATAGTGCCATTTAATTTGAAAGCAACTGTCTTACACTGTTGTTAAGGAAGGGTTTGAAGGTTTTACAACCTAAAATATGCTTGGTTAGGTACCTAATAAATTCTAACCTGACTTTATCAAAAAGTAATAATAGTACATTCCTGAGAAAGAATAAGCATTCAAAATATTAGCTCAATGAATACCCAGCACTGTACCAGATGGGTTTTACAGGACACCAACACATATACAGGTCACATCAGGGTTATGCTGGCCCTAAAAGGGAGGGTAGGTCACATCAGGGTTATGCTGGCCCTAAAAGGGAGGGTCTGCTGAGCCAGAGAAGTTCCTGTAACTTAATTTCCCCTTCTAAATATGCAGAAGTGGCTATTAGAGGCAGGCACATACAACAGAAAATCAAAGAGTCAAAACATAGACTCTCTTCTGTAAATAATTTGCTTAACCTGACAGAGGGTCAGAGATACCTAATTGGCTGACACTCTACTTTTTACTACGTTAAGAGAATAAAAAATACTTAAATGCGATAACATAGCTGATTGATACTTAAACCAAAATTTACACAGGACAGAAAGACAATTAAAGATGAATAAAGAGAATGGGAGAAATCAAATTCAGTATGACACAATTACATCTGACCCTAGTGAGAAGTAGAAAAGATAGTTTTGTATTTTTTAAAAAAGAAGTTTCATGGCAGGATTCTGAAGAACTTTCTTCTTCAAAATGAAATTTTACTGTATTCTTACCATAACTACCAGTTAATTTTCAACCTATTAAGATGCAAGTGACTGGATTATTAAAGCTACCAGACATACTTCTGCCTCATGCCCAATTAAACAACATTTATTTGAAAGGAATGTATTTCGGTGGTAACTCTTACCTTCTCATAAATTTTAGTGATTTCTTCATTTGGGCTAAATACTAGCTGCAATGCTCCACATCCAGATGCCCAGATAATTTTTTGTATAGCTCTAATTACACAAATATCAGGCATATATCTTGAAGCCTGTAAGATAATGAGTAATTACAACTGTTGAAAGAGTATTAGAGTGGAATAATCACTAGAAAAGCAAAAATTTTTCTCCTTGCAAAGGCACAGGAATTGCTGTGAAGCAGTACCAGTCTCTTAAGTTCCCAAGTTGCATTTGTCCCATTTTTTTTACACAGCAACACCACAAAGTATATACTCCAAATTATTATCTGGCCTTGTATTACTTTCGGAACAATCTTAAAAAGACTACAAACGTGATGCAACCACTCTATTCCTAGTATTTTTAACCAAGATAAATAAAAACCTATGTCCACTCAAATACTTGAACAGAATGTTCACAGCAGCTTTATTCACAACCAAAAAGGGGAAACAATGCAAATGTCCTTTGCCAAGTATATAGATAAACACAATGTAAAATGTTCATCATGGGATACTACTCAGCAATAAAAAGGAATGGACCAAAGGTTCACACAGCACAGATATTTCTCAGTGATTATTCTAAGTCAAAGAAACCAGACATAAAAGAACACACACTGTATAAGTACACTTGTGCTAAATGAAAACTAGATACAGTGTCAAAAGATCCGTGGTTACCTAGGGCCAGGGGTGGAGGGAAGAATGGACTGCAAAAAGGGACACACACAGAGTGATGGAAATGTTCTGTGTCTTGATTGTGGGGGTGGTTTCACACATATATGCATTTATCAAAATTCATGGAATTATATACTTTAAAAGATGCTATTTATTGTACATAAAGATGATTAAAATCAGAAAGTGCTAATATTAATATTAGGTAAAATTCATGTTAAGGGGGTTTTATCTAGACTGAAACAGTGATTAAAGTGAGTGGGCCTAGGAAAATTAGGCCCTAAATTGTGACAAGGGTTATTCCTAAATTAACAGAGGGTCAAAAGGAGAAAGAAATGAACCTTCCAGGATTTCAGAAGTTTAAAGTTTAATACTAACCTCATCAGATATTTGCTGAGCAAGACGAATTGACACATTTCTAAGCATGCATTCGGATGATGGATTAGGAATGCTCTGAAGGGCACTCTGTAGCACCACTGCTTGATCATGAGTAACTTGGTTGACCTGAAAAAAGATAACCATTTTACTTGGAGTAAATCATTTGTACACAATCAGACCCAACCGTTTATTCCTCACCACCTTCATCACTCCCTCAGGACGACTTCTTTTCATAGATGTACTGTAGAACCTGTGGTAACTTACACAAAAAGTACTTCACGTTGCCAACAATGTGGGCTTCCTCTTTTTCTTGTGCAGCAGAGTGCTACACATCCCTCTGAAAACCCCCATTCTAGATCAGTCCGACTCATGTCTCTCCATCTGCGCTCAGCCTAACTTGTAGGGGCAAGTGATAAACTGAACTGACAAGTTCCAACCCTATCTAGAGATTCAGTAAAGTACGCCACATCTTTTATATGTATGTTCCTGGGCAGACCCTGCTCCCATTCCCACTGGTCATCAAATTCTTTGAAAAGGAGAAAAATTAAGAAATATCAATAACAGAATAAAAGTATAAATGTAGGAAAGGTATCAGTTTTTTAATAGAAATTCAAGTTTTTAAATCTGTAAGAAAAACAATTACTTTTAAGTAGTTATTAACCAGGCAATTCTGTCTTTCAAGTTGTAACAGCCCTTCTCTATATTCTAAGTACAGTTGACCCTTGAACAACATGAGTCCACTTATATTCGGATGTTTTTTCCCCCAATAAATATGTAGTCAGCTCTCCGTATCCCTGGATTTCACACCCACAGATTCAACGGACCATGGATCAAAAACAGTAATATCTTTTTTCCTATTTTGGGGAGTGGGGTATCTAAACAACAGAAATTTACTTTCTCAGTTTTGGAGACTAGAAGTCTGAGATTGGAGCGTTGCCACAGGTTCTTTCGAGGGTTTTCTTCATGGCTCGCAGTTGACCCCTTTCTTAGTGTGTGTTCACAATGGTGGGCGGAAGGAAACAGTCTTTTTGATCTGCAGTTGGGAATCTGCAGATGTGGAAGGCTGACGAGTTATACATGAATTTCAACTGTGTGGGGGTTGTTGCCCTAACCCCCATGTTGTTCAAGAGTCAACTGTACTTCTACAACAGTATTTAATACATATCTATTTTACTAATTTTACCTTTAACTCCCTACTGACCGTGAGCTTCTTAAGATTAGAAGCTAATTACGTACCTTTGTATCCACAATAGCACATTTTCAGAATAAATACTGAAGAAAAGTGAAAGAGGGAAGCATGTAATTGTTTTCTGTGTACTTCATTAAGCACCTGTGCCAGGGATCATGATAAGAATCTGTTTTTATCTTAACAAGACCAATTTTTTTATTCTAAGAAACATGGGACCCTAATTACAAAACAATATAAGGTTTAGGCCATTTAAAAAATCCTTTTTAATGGGAAACTTCTAACATATATGAAAGTGAAGTGAATGGTTTTACTAGTGCCCATGTACCCATCGTCCAGCTTCAACAATTATGAACATAGGACCAAAATTGTTTATCTAACCAACCCCTTCACTTTTTGTCCCCTCTCTACCCGAGGCTTACTTTTGAAGCAAATTCTGGATATCATATAATTTCATCTGTAACTGTTTCAGCAACTACTTAAAAAAAAGGAAGGGGGAGTGCTATTCCTTTTAAATGTAACCACAGTATCATCATCACACCGAAAACAATCATAAATGCTATTATCACAATTATATCACATATCGAATCAATATTCCAGTCTCCCTGATTAAAACCTCAGCCATTTCTAAAAAACCCACACTATATTCCTGAAGCTTTTATTTCTATCAGTAACTTAGTAAAACATCACTTATAATGCATTCAGAAGAATTCTAATTTTAGTCAGAATTAAATGAGTAGTTTGACCTCTTCATAAGTAGGCATTGAATTCTGGCATGTCTTGACAACTTTTGGTGGATCAAGGATGCCACCAAGGCAAAGACAGAGTCAGAGTAAGCTCAGAACTGGAGGTTTAGCCTGTTAAAGTGGCTGGAAACAGGTTAAATTATATCTTTTTTTAATACCACCTGTGTCTTTATTATCTGCCAAATATGAGTAAGAGATTCATATAGAGGTTTTATTAGGTTTAAAATAGTTGCAAGTCAAACACGATTTAAGGGGGCAGGAAGGAACGGTCCTCTCAAATAAGAGTATAGTCAGTGAAAGCATTTGTATATATACAAATATAATTTAATGAAAGAAAAGATCTAAAATGAGTTATCACTGGAAAGGAACCAGAAACATTTTTAATTAACTTTGAACTTTATACTTAAGAGTTGCTGAGAAGTTTAACTTTAAAAATTACCATCTATTATTATAAAAAGATTTTAAAAAAAGTTTGCATTACCGATGTCATAGGATTCACGCCTTCCACACCTGGCTGAAAAGCTTCTGCCACAGCTCGAACGTGGCCATAGCCAATGGCAGTTAGCAACAGTTTGGCTATTTTAAGAGCATTGAGGTAGGCACCCCTTCGAGTTTCCATATCTGCATTTGGTAGGAAGTTATTTCTGGTTAACATACTCAGGACAAGGGGTAGGCCACCACTTTTCAAGAAGTGAAACTGAAAATCAGAAGAATCATCGGCCAGAGGTGCTCCAGCAGGCATTAACAGGGCATAGACCACCTGGAAAAAAACACACAGAAGGACTGTATTAAAAGATTTTTCCCTTATCATCACTGCTAAGAAATTCTTTGACCATTTCAAAGAAGTTTTACTACAATGTTATCCATGCTATTGACATTACCATAAAAAGGTCAAATGCGAAGAACATAGAATAAATTTAAAAAGGAAAAAAAAAACTAACCTCTGTTAGGTATAGCACTTGTGAGGCTGAAGGACCAAAGAAAAGCGAGTCGAGAGATGGACTAAGGCTGCTTTCTCCAAGTTTGGCGTGGTCTAAACAAATAGCTCTTAATTTCTCTATTGTTGTGCTATCTGTAAGAAAAGAGACACAGTCTAAGACAAACATAATCCATGCATTCATAGTATTTCACTTTGATATTCTGAAGACTACTTCAGTACGAAATAACAATTCAGTTGAGTTATAGGCTCAAATGTCACAAGACATAAGTAGTTCTGGATTAAAAAAAAAATCAAAATAAACCAGGGCTCTTAATCAGCCAACCTAAACATGAAGGAAGCAGTCTCCTATTCAGAGACCTTAAGTCAACATGCCCTCCCCTCAGCCACTGGAGATAGAAGAAAATACAATACACTTCAAAAGGAAGTAGTTCTTATTGAAAATAATAAGAAAAAATTGACAAGCTGTTTTCTCCAACTTCTTTATTGTTAGCCTCCCTGACACTATGCATTAACTGGTTTATTTTACTTAAAGAGCCTGAGTGATACCCTAGAAACTGAACCTTAAAAAGTGATTGGAAAAAAAAAGAGGGACTCATGCCTAATGTTCACCTCGAAGTACGCACAGCTTTGCTTTTTTTGAGCACAATATTAAAAGATGAGTTTCTCTGAAATCACTGAAAAAATACCACACACAACCCCCCCCCCACCGATAATCCCAGGATAGAATTAAGCATTGGCTACCAAACACTCAAATTTAAGTGAATCAACTTTCAGAATGTACTTTGATAACAATTATTTTCAACATAAATGCCTTATTATTAAAATGCTACTTGATAAATAAGATTTTTTTTTTTTAAGTAAAAGCTTTTACTGAAGACTAAAGAAAACTGAAAATTACTCTAACTTCCTTAGGGTATACTAATTTTTACAGGCCTAGAAACAGCCTAGAAATATGGTATCAAAAAAAATCTTTGAAGGGGGCCTGTAGAGTGGCGCGTTGGTTAAGAGCTGGCTTGGGATGCCAGCTCTGAGCAGCAGGGCCCTGGTTCGGATCCCACATGAGGGCCAGTGACACTGCCCTTACAGCTAAGATGGTGAACAACAGCTCTACCTGGAGCTGGGCTGCTGAGAGTCACCTGCGAAGGCATAGGCTGCAGCCCCTGCTGCAGTGGGTTGCTATAGGCTACCCTGTGTCGCCGGCAGCCAGCGTGAGCGGCCAGCAGCCTGTGTGAGCTGCGAAGAGCCGCTGTGAGTGGCTGTCCAGAGGCCGGCAACCCATCTGCCTCACCCGGGAAAAGCACAATGATCACAATAACAACATGGGCCAGTGAAGCAACGTCCTCCACAGCTAGACTGAAGAACAAAAGGACAGCAACTTGTCTGTTCCTTCTCCCCGATTCCCCAACACTGTTCCCCTCCCCCAATTAAAAAAAAAAATCTTTGACTTGTGTGAAAACTGTTAGTTTTCCCTATTCTCAAGCGACAGTGACATTACGTAACTAAATGAATTATGTTTTCATAATAAAATATTTGTGAATATCTTCTCATGTCATTATTCATCCCCTATATAATTTTCAGTTGATGATTAAAATGACACGGTCATTTTACCAGTATACCAGTTTAATCTCTATTACTGGGCATTTAGGCTTTTTCCAATTTTCTTTTTATACTAAAGATCCTTGCAGTCAAATCTCTGCAATTATTTCCCCAGGAAACAAATCCCATTTGGCAGAAAGAACTGCAATGCAAGGTCCAAGACTTCTGACATATATCACCAAATTACTAAAAACAAACCAATGCATATGTTACGTCTGAGAATGTCTTGCTTGAATTAAAAATATACTGTGTGAGGGATGGAGCCAAAAGAGAGTCAGAGAAAAAAGGAACAAGAGCTCTAAGAAAAGGAAGCAGTGACTTGTAAGCAAATCATTTAATGTTGAATTTTAGTTTATTCATCCAAGGTATCTGAACCAAATGATCGCTAGTGGCCATTCCAGCTTTAGTATTTGTGAACCTAAATGATTTTAGGTCCCTGATTATACACATGCTCATTTTACAAAATATGAAAAATAGAGAAAAATCAAAAGGACTCATAATCTTGTCATACAGACATAGTTTAAGATTTTAGTTCAAGCTCTTTCTAGTCTTTTAAAAAGACACTTAAGTTATATAAATATAGCAATGTATTATTAAAAATACAGAAAACAATGAGCAGTAACACACAGGTTAACATTACAAATGTTGGAGCCCAGCTGCATGCATCTGAAACCTAGAAATGTTTAAACTCTGTGTCCCTGGTCAAGTAACTTAATCTCTCTGTGGCCCAGTTTCCCCATCTTTAAAATACAGATAAAATAGTAATTCCCTCCAAGATGTTGTAAGGCATGAGTTCACAGGTGTTAAGTACTTTTAACAGATTTTGGCTTTTTTTATTTATTGTTTTATTTGGGAAAAGTGCTTCTTACAAAACGGCAGCTGCAAAATACAGAGACCTCTGTAACAATAACTTGCTTTCTCTTAAAGTGAAAGACTGGGTGGGATCCAAGGAATCAAAGCAGTAGATGGACAACTCAAGAGCATCTCTCCAAGTTATTTTCAGGAAATAGAGCAACAAAATGAAAGCTAAAAATTTCCAATCAAGGAATCCTTTTAACAACTTGTCTCGTGGACTACCACCCCTCCCCTCCGTTTAGTGGGAAAGTGGGAAAGTGCAAACCAAAGACCCCACTACAAGAAACACTTTAGAACATAGTTTTCAATTACATCTGTCAACCTGGAAAGCTCAGGGATGGAATGAGGCCAACACCCACAAAAATGAACACAAAACCCCAACAGCAAAACCCCTCAGAGGAGGATGAAGGTTGTCAGAAAGTGCCTGGATGGGACAGCTAGGAGATCATTAAACATTAAATACAACTGTGTGTCCAGTTTGCGTTAATATATGAGATAACCAGACCGTTTGCACCTCTGTGGCTAAGCCCATTTCTCTATTTATATAGACAGACAGCGCTAGCACTGCTCTAGTAACAGCTACCAACATACTGCTTTGTTCTGAAAGATCTGTTTGTCACACTAGGCTGAAATGACTAAACCACGGTTTTCCACTAAGGCTACAAATGCCACACCTATGTAGAAATGAGCTTATCACATACTCACACAAGCCACATCTACCCCAGCCCTGCGTGTCAACGTCCAGCCCTGCATGTCTTTTATGAGATTTTGGCATATTTTAAGATATTAGTTAGAAATTTCCCTAACTCCTGGGAAAAAGGATGCTCTGAACAGGAAAAGCAACTCATTCTGTTTGGTAAAGCAGTATACATTTTAATGACTCAGTATTAAGCAAGAGTCTGTTTTCCTGATTATGTAAGGAAAGGTCACAGGAGCTCCTGAGTATAGTCTAGATTACAAGAGATTAAATTACCTACAGAGAAGACTGTAGAAGTTCTAAGATTAGCAGCAAATCATAATGGAGGCACTTGACTTCAGGCAAAGATTCAGAATGAAATGATAAAGTCAATGACTAGGAAAAAAGCTACTAATTCCATCTTAGTTTTCCCCTTTAAAATACATGGACGTGTGCACAAACACTAAATGATTACCCAAATGTTACCCAGCTAGAAACAGAATTTATAACTACAATACTTCCTTTTCTTAAAGTGAAAGAAGAGTGTAGGTGTGTGTAGCAACTGCAGTGACAGAGAGTAAGTTAACATTTGCTGAATACTGATTAAATACTAGTCACTAGGCTAGGGTTTTCCATACATCACCCCATTTAATCCCTGAAATTCTATAAAATAGTTATTATTAGCCTCGTTTTACAGATCCGGATTTGAACAAGTCCGTTTAAGCCCAAAGTCTATGATTTAATTACTGTAGTAAAATCATTACTGCCTTTTTCAAAGTTGGCTATTTCAAATTTAGGTACTACACTTTGATTATAGAAAATATGGAAGAAGCACCCTTAAATTTCTTGCTCGGAGCTGCTTGGGATGATCTCACTTTTGCCATCTGGTGGCATTATGCTCAATATACAAGATCAGGGATTCTGAAAAGGATTTCTGTTTAAAATGTTTTGAAAGCTGATTCTGCATACATAAAGCAACTGTTACTCAGATATTAGTACATAAAATACAAATTCTAAACAATACAACAGATAAGGGGTAAGAATTAAATTAAATCATTGAGAGAAGCCTTAGATAAGAGTCTAATTAATTTTAACTGATTCTGTCCCCATCGGAATCAGAAAACAAAATAGCAGAGGTCAACATGGTGTTTACTTTAGAAAAAGGAGATAATGGAAATACAAGACAGTTGTAAAAATTACCTGGGTCAATTATTGAACTGTATGTATCAGCAACTCATACACAAACCCCACTAAAATAATACATGAATACAAAATACATAAACTCAAAAGGACATAAAAACAGGAGATGAAGGAACACTAGAGAGATGTCAGTCAATTATTGAAGGCGTAGAGGAGATGGAAGATTGGCTTAGTTGAACCAAGAAGCGCTTGTGGAGTAAAAGGAAGGGGGCGGGGGCACCCATAAGTTAGCACTCCACAAAATCCTCGAAGAGCTAAGGATATAAAAACAACAGGGGGCCGGCCGAGTGGCACGTTGGTTAAGAACTCGCTTGGAACGCCATAGGGCCCCGGTTCGGATCCCACATATGAGGGCCAGTGACACTGCCCTCCACAGCTAAGATGCTGAACAACAGCTCAACCTGGA